GCCACGCAAACAGTTATAAGACTTTCGGCCCAAGCGGGACCACACATTTGCCAAAATCAGCGGGTCAAACATAAGAGGGGCGTTTGTCAAACCAGGTGTCCCTTAAAATGGTTGGTTCCAGCTTGGTTTCCCTTTGAATAAACCAAATGGGGGTCCGTGTTGAACATGGAAACCCAAACAAAGAGGGCTTGTGCAACGCGCTGTTGCCGAGTTAGGGGCTGCCTTCAACCTACGTCAAACCAGGTGTCTCTTAAAATGGTTGGTTCCAGCTTGGTTTCCCTTTGAATAAGCCAAATTGGGGGTCCATTTTGAACATGGAAACCCAAACAAAGATGGCTTGTGCAACGCGCTGTTGCCGAGTTAGGGGCTGCCTTCAACCTACGAGCCCTTTCGAGACGAAACTCAATTTCATAGGTGTCAACTGAAAAACGCAATTGTGTTGACAAGTTAAGGCACTTGGGTGGTTTCAATCTAGGGATCTTAATTGATGTAAGCGAGTCTGAAGGGCCAACAGGCAAAAGCGCTTGGGGGAGCTTGTGTGGTCGCCACAACGAGCTGACATTTGGATGTGTTCAATCAAGGGCTCTCAGCCCTTTAATTGCTGGGCGTCAAACGCCGAGGTTCCGGGAGCACAGCCTCGCGCTGGATGTCCCCATCCACTGGCTGGAGTTGGACAGCCACGAGAATTTCCCATGTGTGCTCCCGACCGATCTTCTTCAGAAGATGTCTCAAATAGACTGTGTGCCGAAGCTTGTGGGAGATGCTGAACCAAGCGCGATCAAGGATATCCTTCTGACCTACTGGCGACGATTTGCGAAAGAGTTCCCCTCGCACCAAGTTCTGCAACGCGCAGGCGCCGATGCCATCCCACTCTGTCGGACATTTCCGTGCTATATCCACGGAGACGAGGGCAGGGCGCTGAAACGCTCAGGCGTGATGATCCTGTCCTTGCAAGGGGCGATCGGCAAAGGGTCACGTCCTTTCCAGGTGCGTCACAAGCTGAAAACAATCAAATCACTGAAGCAAGGGCTCAATGTCGGTGGCAACTCCTTCAACTCCAGGCTCCTCTTTGCTGCCATGCCCCGCCGGTACTACGCGCAGAAGCCCAGCGTCTACAGGTCCCTTGTGCGCACTCTTGTTCAGACCTTGCGGACTTTGCAAGATCGAGGCTTCAGCTGGCGCAACGAGCAGTGGCGTGTGGTCACGGTGGGGCTTAAAGGAGACCTCCCTTTTCTGACGAAAACAGCGCGGCTGGAGCGGCACTACTTGCGGGCCGCGAGGAAGGACGAGAACCGCAGCAAGGCAGTAGGCGTCTGCGCTCACTGCATGGCAGGCACGGAGAACGTCCCCGCAGAGGACTTCAACGAGAATGCGGCTTGGAGGAGCGTTCCTTGCAGTGTGCCCTGGAAAGCGGAGGCTCCACCAGAGTTCCTTGAGCTTTACCACGTGCCGGATCGGCCAGAAGCTTTCGTGAAAACTGACATGTGGCATAACTTTCATGGCGGTGCTGGCAAAGACTTTGTTGCTTCGGCGCTTGTGGAGTGCTTGGTGCTTGTGGAGTCAGAGGCCAGCAGCTTTCCGAGGCGAGTTGAGGCCATTGGGACACGACTGAAGGTCTGGGCAGCTTCGCACGGAGGCATGCCGCACTCAGGGCCCCTGGTGGCGGAACGGCTCGGAGTCCAAAGCCTGCAGCCGTGCCCAGAGGCATCGTGGAGCAAACACGATGATACCCGGCAGTACTTGGCATTCTTGGAGTGGTTCCTCAAGGACGGGGTTGGCTGTGCTAGCGGGGGGAGGGGGGAGCGAGGCTTGACAATGGCGGGTTGAACGCCCTTGCAGGAGAACGAAGACGCGGTGCAAAACAACAGCATTTTGGTGAAGATTCAGGTGGCCACCGAGGCCATCAACCGGGCCTTCTCGACGCTTTACTCGAGTGGACTTTGGCTAACTCGCACGGAGGCTGAGGTGGCGGGCAGGAATGGGCGCATTTGGCTGGAGCAGTATGCCCTGCTTGCAAACGAAGCCTATGAGGTTCGCAGGCAGAGATTCCCCTTGCACACGAAACTGCACTTACTCGACCATGCTTTCACAAGCCTGTTGGCGGGATCGCGGGCGCGAGACTGGACGCTCAACATTCTGGCAGAATCAGTCCAAATGGACGAAGACCCAACATCTAAAGTTTGTCATTGTCAGAACCCGCAAGTATCAAATATCGTTGGATTTCCAACTTCCCAATGTAGCTGCTGGAGCCCTATCCTTGGCATGTTGTTTATGGTCTGACTCTGACCCTGCAGGATTTCATCGGACATTGCGCCCGCTTATCGAGAAGAACATCGCCAAAAGCCACTTCCCTTCGGGTTCTGAACCGGTATTTGACACGAGCACTTAGGACATGGGACCGCCCTGCTAAACGCTGAGAAGCCCATTTGTCGGCGCTTCCCACTTTAGAACACCTTTGCAGGGGACAACGCTTGCAAGAAATTGTTTAAAACAAATGGGGTTCAAGGCTGGGGGGCTGGCCGTCTCAGATCTCCGGCGCAAAGGCGTCGCCAATTGAGCCCAGAATGGTGGCGAGGCAGCGGCCGTCCGTATTTGGGCAAAAACGGGCGTACCCGTATGTCCAAAAAAAAAACGGCAATATGGGGTCCCAGGTTGTAAATGGTGGTTTCCCTTTATTTTGGTGTTGAAAAAGCCATGTTTCAAATGGTTGCAAAATGTATCTGTTAAGGAGCCCTGCCCATGTTGGTGCCCTTTTGGGACATGTGACATATCATGTGGGCCATGTTGCCGGCCAACTCACAGAGAGGTTGGTCTTTGGTTTGACCGAGGTCACCTTGAACTTTTGGCAAATATCGTTTCCTGCCCACTATCACTATCGAATTAAGTTGCTTTTGCAGGAGGTGAAAGACCAAATCTGGTGTGGTGAATCCTGTGATGTGCTTCAATATCATCTTGCCCTGCGCTTATGGGGATGTCACAGCTCGAGATGCCGGTTGTAGACCCGGTCCAAAGGCAGGCATCCCCTTTTTGAACAACATAGATCGCGACGACACAGTGTCCAACCAGAACGGTTTTTTTCCCACTATCCCCAAGCCATTCCCCCCCCCCACCCCACCCCACCCTTGGCGGAGGGGTGTATGTTTTGCCTGGGTTCGGCGCGGCCTGTTTTTTCTCCTAGGTCCGGCGGTCCCGATCTAGAAAAGGCGCAAAGGGCCCCCACTTCTTTCGATCAAGCACAACGGGGCGGGTTTGGGCCTTGGGTTTCTTTGGGTTCAGGGTTGGTTTAGTGCTGGCTTAGGGCGGGCCGTAAGGGTGGGCTGGTGTGGTATGGATCCAGGGTTGGTACAGGCTTGGTTTCGGGTGGTTTTGGGTTTGCTTCGGGTGGATGTTTTGTGGTTTTAGCCCTGGTTTACGGTGGGTTTAGAGTTGGTTCAGGGTTGGGCTAGGGTGGTTCAGCGCTGGTTTTAGGATGGGTTTAAGGTTTAGGGATGGTTGAGTTGGTTTAGTGGTGGTTTAGGATAGATTGAGGGTTGGTTTAGCCTTGTTTAGGGTGGGTTTTGAGTAAGTTTAGCCTGGTTTAGGATGCTTTAGTGCTTGTCTAAAGCTTAGGGTTCGTTTAGGGTTTGCTTAAATTTGTTAAGGGTTGATCTTGAGGTGGCTTAAAGCTTGTTCAGGGTGGGTGCAGGGTTAATTTAGGCTGGGTTTCGGATTGGAATAGGGTTGGAGTGGGTTTAGGTTTGGCTCAGGGTTTGTCAGGATTGGGGTTGGAAAAGGGTGGGCTTAGGTTTGGTTCAGCTTTTGCTTAGGGTTCGTTTGGGGTTGGCTAGGGTTGGTTTCGGGTTGGTTTTGGTTGGGTTTCTGGTTTCTGTAGGGCTTCTTCAGGGCGTGGGTGGGTATTTATTTGCGGTTTACGCTGGGTGTAGTGGGAGTTTAGAGTTGGATTAGGGTGGTTTGGGGATAGTTTAGGGCGCTGGCTTGGGGTGGGTGTGGGGGTTCTGGTAGGCTTTGGCTGGCTCAGGATGCTTCAGTGCTGGTTCAATGTGGGTTTAGGGGTGGGTTTAGGGGTGAGTTTAGGGGTGAGTTTAGGGGTGGGTTTAGGGTTGTCGGTTTAGGGTGCTGGTTTGAGGTGGGTTGCAAACACTATCCTCGAAGTGATGCTAGCTGAGAATGTGGGAAGGCAAAGATACAACAAACAACCGCCAAACGCCACAAAAGCATGCAAAAAGCCGCGAAAGCCAACAAAGCACCTGCCCACTGACGACGAACCGACCGACCGACCGACCGACCGACCGACCGACCGAACGACCGACCGGGGACCCTTCCGCGACTCAGCACGCCAAACCTAGGAGAAAAAAAAACTCGGGCCCCCCCACCCTTCCTCCCCCAGAAACCGATACACCATAGATATCGGCCCTTTGCTTTGATCCCGATCAGCGCTCCCTTGCGCTTTCGGGCCCCCTGCCCGCACAAGTCCAGGAGGTTGCAAATGGTCGGGTACAGCAGGTGGCCTCAGTCGCGATGCTTCGGTTTCCACAAGCAGCTGACACCTCCGCCCGAAAAACGAAGAAATGTTGATGCGAACAAAGGGCCGGGGATTCCATGAAAACAGCATGTGTGTCTTTCTTCAGGGTACCCTCGATGTTTTTCAACCCATCCATGTGCTTTCCTTCAAACAAAAAACACAAAATGGGTATGGGTCAAAATCCATTTTGGTACAGGTTTTTGAGCCGCAGCCAAATCACCTACGCTTTTTATATGCAGTCGTCTTGACCAAGCCGATTTCGGCGCCATGTTCGCTCGGCCTCCCGGCAGTGCAGCGGGTTTCCATCGCAGTCTGTCCTGATGGTGATGCCCGTTTGGGTGTCCACCTCGGAGATCGGGTCTTGCTGTCTTCATGGCTCAACCCGAAGAGAATCCGTCAAATGAACCCAAAGTGGTCAAACATGACTTGGGACCACCAAAAAGTAGTCAAACAACTAGCCTTTGGAGCGGCAGGCGCGTCAAAGATCCATACGGTTCAGGGCTCCAACGCGGGAGACCACGTCGTTCTCGGGCATGATGGTCAGGGCGCTGTGCCGCAGCTCCTCTCCCCCGCCGTTTGAGGAGCCGTGGCCGCATAGTGATGGCTCTCATGCTGAAAGACTGGGGCAAATGGGCTCATGGTTGAACCCAACTAGCGGAGTCCATCTGTCAAGCTGATGTGCGAAGCACTGGAATTGTTGCACATGTAAGTGTTGCACAAAGTCGGTTTGCCTTCAGCTGCCTGGTTCTTTGCGTGGAGTTCCCTTTTCGAAGACACACAAAAACTGAGCAAAGATTGGGAGTTGCGGGTAAGGAAGAAGCCCATTCGTATCTGACAAATTCTCTGTTACCCCCCCCCCCCCCCCCCGCAAAAAAAAAAACGAAACCCCCTAAACCAACCAAAGCCCCCGAAGCGCCGATGTTCCGCCCCCGACTCGCCCCGGCACGGTCCCGACCAAAAAGCAAAAAGGAAGAAGACAAAAAAAATAAACGGCCCCCCGAAACCCGCAGACATTTCTCCGAACCCCGCAGACACCTCCCCGCGGTTGTCACCGCGGACTCCTCGTTGCGGTGCTCCCGGAAGACCACGTAGCCCGTGGTGCCCAGCCCCGGAGCCATGAAGGTCACCGCCTGCGCCGAGTCGTGGGACGCCCGGTGCGACTTTCGGGTCCGGTGGCGGCCGGGGCCCGTCTGGCGGTTCATGGAAGAAAGCCCAGCTTTGGATGTCCCTTCGGTGGTGTTGTTGAGCCTTCTCTTGTTTTTTCTTCTTCTGTTTTTTCGGTTGTGTTGTTGTTGTTTTCGTGGGCGGTGAGACCGCAACAGGTGCTCTGACAGGTGAAATGCTGAAAGAAAAAAGGTTCCCTTGTTTCTGACAAAAAACAGCAGTAGGTTCCCTCGACACAAAGCGAAAACCCAAGTTGGAAGGGGATGGTGGACATGGGTCCTTTCGCACCGGCTGTTGGGGTATTTGTTGGGGGTTGGGCCTGCAACATAGATTCTATATGATTGTTCAAATGAAATCTCCCGCCATGCCCTAAAATGTGCCTCCTTTTTGGACAAGCCCTCATGTAGGAAGGAAGCCGAAATTGCCCCCTACCCAGGAAAGCCATCTGAAAGAACATGTTTATAAGTTGGAAGGGCTCCTCTATTTCTGTGGAGCAAACAGAAATCACCTAACTTCACGTTTAAAGAAAACAGCGCAACAGCATCGGCCTGAAAACCACATTCAAACAAACTGCGGCCTAAGAACCACTGGTCTTCCCACCCCCGTCTTCCCGGTCTTTGGGCAGGACCAATGGGATGCCCATCCCCAACACGGCTTGATCACTTTCGAGGGGAGCCTATCACAAAGAGACCCTAAAACCAATGATAAAACAAAAAATGGTTCAAAAGGGGAAGAAAAGGGGCGCAATACCTGGTGTCATCGCCCAAGAACCGAGATCGAGGAGTCTTTGGCCCAAGGCAAACATGCTGCTAAATTAAAAATGAAATACAAAGAGTATGACGGTTCTTAAAGAGGAAGAAAAAAAACGAAGAAGAAAAACAAGTCCCCGGTTTCGATTCCACTCCCTCGATTCGAGCGCGATCCGCTCGAGTCGAAGCGCCTGCATCGACACCTTGGAGGCGACCAACTTGGCCAGGCCGCCGCCCAGGGAGTGCCCCGTGATGTAGAAGCGCCTCCGGCTTCGTGGCAAGCACAGGACTTGGGACTTGGGGTCTGCGGGACAGGCAGAAGCGGCAAAACCAGATGTGCGGGTTTTCCCTTCTTTTTAATATTGTTCTTGTCTTATTCAAAAAAAGACAAGAGATAGATATGAGCCCACGGCAACCAGAGTTGTTGCAACCAAACAGGTTGAATGGACCCAAAAAAACAGGTTGGGGGTCAACAACAGAAAAGTATGCCAATTGGTAAGTGGGATACTGCGTCTCGGAAGGTGGACCTACCCTACAACCAACCTGAAGCACTTAGTAACCAAGGTTGCTAATCAGTTGCCAAGTGGAGTGGTCATCGCAGCAGGGGTCGGTTCGTTTTCCCCATGGCTGGGTTGAGCTGACCCCCCTGGCAAGAGCGGTGTGTCTTACTCGGAACACGGTTACCCAGAGAATACTAGGCTTTTCTGGTCGAAATAAAGAGCAACCAAGTATGTTTATACGGGACTCAGGAGTTCAACTGTCTTCCCCTCTTTGCTGAATGCTCCATTCCCCCTTTCTGGATGGTGTTTAAAGCGAAAATGCTCTTTCTCTCTCTCTGTCCCTCTTTCGGGTGGGATGAACCCCTATCTTCTATTGCTTCTTCTTCAAATGGATTGCCCTTTGTTGTCAAAACAAACCAAATGTGAGGGTCCGTTTTCCGTCTAGCCCTCGATTGGATCGGAGAAACCAAAAGGGAAACACCAAGGTGTTGGGTGGTCTGTTTGAGAAGTTTTGGACTGGATCAAGGGCGGGGTCAATAACAGCCCTTTTGAAACCTCTGGAAAAAGATGACCCTTGGAAAACCGAAGAGTGAGTTGGATCCCCTTTTGAGTAAGTTGCCTTTTTGCTACAGCAGAGGGCGGTGGAGTCTGGCGATGAGAAACATGGGGCCTGAGAAAGGATCTATCACGAGTGGGCCGTTCGTTACTCTACTGGTGGTTTCGGCCAGCAATGCGGGCACAACCAAGCAACCCAACCACAGACTGTGCATTGACGGCTCAAACTGTATATATATATATATATAGAGAGAGAGAGAGAGAGAGAGAGAGCGAGAGCGAGAGAGAGAGAGAGAGAGAGAGGTTCGCCAACATGACATAATGGACCCCCAACCAAAGTCACGAGTCAACTTGCAAAATGTCCTCGTTCCCCACTTTGTTTTGAACCTGGATTGAAAAACCCTTTATCCGTCCGGGGCCAACACGAATTAGCTGTAACCATCAAAACCCCCATTGAACTTGCGCCCCGCGCGACGCACAGGAATGCCCCTTTAACCCCGAACCGTCTTGGTTCAGGGGCCAGCAAGCAAGCCCTTGAATTTAGCCGGCACTCAACCGGTCGCAAGGGCTATGGGAAGTCTGACTTCGCAGGTTGCTCCCCACCGCGCAAAGAGCCAAAATTGGGTCTCAAGGTCAATCCCTGCCCTGCGCAAACTGACCCCGGCTTCAGGCAGACCACCCAACCCAATGTGATGGGAACGGCGTCGATCGATGAAAAGGGCTCCGGACCGGTTGGGGAACTTCTCCTTGCGCTTCTGCACATGATCCAGAAGGTGGGAGAAGTACCTGACAAAAAAGCAACCAAAGCCCCAAGCACCCCTACCGTTTTCTCCCAAGCTTTTGGGAAACATTGACAGATGGGACCCCAAGTCCCTCAGAAATGCTTCCAGGAACCTTCTTGGAAAGGGCTCTTTGAAGGGTTCTGATTACCTTGGACGGGTGTTCCTAGTGTCTCGGAGTCGAAATCCTTCCGCTTTCCTGGCCATTCCGTGCATGTTGGAAACCCAGGGGGATGAAACCAATTCCAGGCTGCGACAAGTGCAAGGCCTTCTTTTTGCTGCCCAAGGCACCAAGGCACCCTCAAATGCACCGAGTGCTTCCGTCACATGGCCACGGGTCAAAAGCCAAATCGTACCCCCAGCGAACATCCCAATCCCCACTAAAATAGGTTCTAAAATGAGTGGTGCACCCACCCCAAAATGGTACCATTGGTTTTGGCCCACAGCCACATGAACAGAAAGGGATTTGACTCGGGGATATGATCGCCGTTGGCTCTTCCCATCCCTGGAATGGTGTTCGTCGCAGCTTCCCTGAAATGAAGCACAACTAACAAGGAAAGAAATAATTCCTTTGAACAGCAAAGTACTGATATTGATGCTGTTCTCAAGCCCAGCATGTGTGCTTCCCCTTCAATGTTTTGCAGTTGCTATGGTTGATTCCCTAAATATCACAAGTAGGGAACACGCAAGCTTTTAAAACTGGCAAAGCTTTGTGGCCGGTTTACTCGATTTAAAGTTCAGGAAACAACCAGACCATACCATCATAGGTGTCCTTTTGCAAACACAAATGGCCCTGGTAAATGGAACGAACCCCATCTAAGCCAGTGCCACCTATTCCTAAGCAAGTTAACCTTAAAAGGACACGTATGCAAACCAATGTCATATGGCTGTGGGTCAAACATGGGTGCCCAAAATGGAACCCTGGCAAATGGAACCATGGACTAAAACCTGCGGTCATACCCATATCCAGACCCCTACACGCGGCGACATGCGCACTGCTTCTGGATGCCATCGCCATACATCATCGTGGACAACAACGCCACGGACTGGCATGGGCGGAAATCGTGAACCCTTTTCCCAGGGCTCCTGAAAGGATGCATCCACAAGCAAACTGCTAAATCAGATGAGGGTAAGATTGTCTGGTAGGGATCGTAGGAAGTTTCGCCCATTGGAGGGGGAAGGGGGGGTAGCGTTGACCCCATGTCTTAATTAACCCCAGTTTATTCGGGGATGTCCCGGGTTTAGTGGAGAATCAGACCACTTTTGGAGGGGGCCCCGGGTTTATTAATATGGGGTTAACATTAAATCAGCTGAGCTGATTTTTCTAACTGGGCCAAATGTATGCTTGGGGGACCCTGCTTCCGTGATACTGCTCAGTGGTTTGCTGTCCATCCCTTGTCGCTGGTTGGGTATACCGCAGAAGACGTCCATGTACATGTGCCATGCCATTGAGGCCGATCCCCCCAACAATTCGCCAGAACCATGCTACGTTCCCGAAGGGCCTGCATCAAACTGTTCAGTAAGACAAAAGAATGACACACACACACACACACACATGGTTCCCATAGAAGGAAAAACTCGGTTGGCCAACAAACACGCGATCGCAAAGCCAGGCACGAATCAACCTTTAAGCATCCAAGGGAAACTACAAGAAAGCCAATTAGGAGGACACCAGAGATAGCAGTTGAGAAACTCCCACATGGCAATGCTCAGAATTGATGCAGGATCCTTGCAATTGGGTCAGCGACTCTAGCCATGTCTTCCCCCTTCCAAGAGAGAACATTCGGGGACTGGGAAATGTTGGAATGGGGCGATGCCCAGCGCGTACTTGGGTGATGCAAGCCCCACCAGCACTGATACATCAGGGACCTTTTGCCGGGACAAGCTTGCCATACCTCGAGCCATACAGTTGTCAACTAAGAAATCGGATAGTAAAAATAAAAGGACACCGTGTATTCTTGTTGCCTTTTGTGAATGACAGCAAACAATATGCTCGACCAACAAATAGCAAGGTCGCCAATTGCATGCCCTTGCTCGGATGTGAGGGTTTGTCAAGCGTTTTTTGGAAAAATGTAATTCCGTTGTTTCTCGCCGGCTGGAATACGCGCAGGTGATACTCCCAACAGCCCACGCCCGCTTGGGTTCTACAAATGAGGAAGGTATATTGGCATATCCCGTGCAAAGGTTCCCAGAACCTCCAGAACCTTCCTTGAACCTTACACCAGAACCTCCGGAACCACTACTCAGAGCTTGCCAGAACCTCCGCAACCTTGCCGTAACCTTGCCGTAACCTTACACCTGGCCTGCACCACACCACCCCGGAACCTCCAGAAGCTTGCTCAAACCTGACTCCGGAACAATCCCGGGGGCTGAGATCCCTTAGCTTTCAGCTGTTGGGGAAAAACCGTCCTCAAAGAATATGTCCAACAACCCCCCATCGGTTTGGCCAGTATCTCATATTGGAGCCCCTTTCGCGCTCAAGGGAAATGCAGAGATTGACTTAGCCACCGTCCTGAGTCGTATCGCAACCGGCCTCTGCTGCGGCATTGGACAGCGATGGGCCTTGGCATTTGTGCGATGGGCCTTGGTCCTAATGTCATGGGCTGAAAATGGTTCCAGTTACGAGCTTGGTCCGGTGAAACTGGAAAAAGCGGCAAACCATGCCGGCGGCAAGACCGACATCTGACACCAAGCGCAAACCTCAGGGAAATCTCCCTGAACAATCTCCGGTCAAACAGCCCTGGAAGACAGTGTACCTGCTGGAGACTGACAAGGTTGCTCAGGGGACATTTGCCATGCCCCCACCCCACCCCCCACCCCCCCAACCCCCACCCCGCACCCCCCACTCCCCACCCCGCACCCCCCACCCCCCACCCCGCACCCCCCACCCCACCCTCCACCCCGGAATCCTGATTGGTTTCCTAAAGCTACCTGTGATCCAGGTCCGGCTTGCGTCCATGGCTCTGGAAATTGGATTCTCTCTGCAGTGCCTCAAAGAGGGAACCCGAAGAAACAAACTTGGAGCCCCTTCAACAGGCAATCTACGTATGAGTGTATCGTTGATTTTCGGGGGCTCGCCGAGCGCCCTTCCTGAGCGGCATCCAAAACCGTGCGGGCTCAAAGAAAACCTTGGGAGGCATGTTGCGGCAAAAAAAATCCGCGGGCGCTTTCTCCGAAGCGCATCTGCCGTGGCTTTTCTTTCCTTGCTCCGCCGCTCTCTCTCTGTCTCTCTCTCTCCAAGGCTTCAGATTCCTGGATCGTTGAGGTCACCACTTCCCGGGCAAAGGAAAAACGAATAGCTTTAAAGGCTTACTGTCACATGTTGTCTGGATGATCTCGTCTGTCTAAAACCCCTCACGCTGACAGAAGTGCAGGAAGTTGATGGCCCTGCTTTCCGGCGGCTGGTACAGGAGGAACATCCTGGCCAGAAAGGAGAGGGGCGGCCAGCTTCAGATGTCTACCCTTAGGAACCCTGGATTTATATTCCCTGATGGAATCACAGGACAGGCTTCCACTTTCGACTACCCCAGGGTGGACTTAAACCCAGGTCCCACCAAAGAGAAACCCCTAAGTCTATCTTGGGTAGTCAAAAAGTGGAACCCTGCAGGAGGGTGTCTCAGTTTTTCAGGGTTGACGACTTTTGGGAAAACACCCCCATAAACCTGAGCAATCTCAAACATCACCTCACTCAAAGGAAGCTCACTTTCAAGTTGGCCTTGCCAAAGATTGACGCTTGAAACTACCCAACATAGGGCCAGTGGGCCATGCAAATCTCGAAGCTATGAAGCGAATGGCGCCGGCGACCGAATGCTACATGGTGCCAACAACATGGTGCTTGTGACTCGCCTGGTACACTCATGTGGGCTGAACTCGTGTTTCAACAAGACCGGATCAGAGTTCCTTGCATGTTGAAACATAAAATTAGGAAACTCCGTCACAACTTGGGCCAAAAGGCAATGTTCGGGAACCTGCGAGGCCTGCAATGGCCGGCACCTTTTTCACATAGCTTACGCTCGCTGTTTCTCACAAACAGAACCACCAACATGCCTTGCTCTCCACATTATATCCCTGGACATGCGGTTTACACGCCCTTGGTGTCCATGTGTTCCGTTGTACCCGGAAAAAAACAACATGGCAAGCAAAGACAAACATCAGGGTTCTCAATTTTCGTGGATGTGTGGCCTCTCCCTGTGGCTATGATATGAGTCTTGATTTGGGGCCCTGACAGGCGAAAGGAATGGAGGTTTTTGTGTTTGACCGCCACATCTTGGAGGTATTTTCCGCCCATTGAAATTCAGAATGTTGACCCCAGATTAATAAACCCCTGGTTGATTAATAGGGGGTTGGCCCCTTTTGGTGGAAATTCATCAGTCTTGGAGGGAACCCCCCCCCTAATCATGGGACAGGTTTCTTCATCCGGGGTCAACATTAGCACACAAATCCGATCCGCCTGAAGAGGCCGTCGTAGGCCCGCTCGGCCACCTGCGTTGAAATTGGGAATCGAAGGGATGGCTTCGGGGCTAAATTGCTGCACTGCCCACGTACCTTGCGGGCCTACATGGCCAAGGGTCAAAAGCCAAATCATATTCCCAGTGAACATCCCAATCCCCAGTACAGACTAAAATGGGTGGTGCACCTACCCCAAAATGGTACCATTGGTTTTGACCCACAGCCACATACATGTGTATGCAAATGATGTTGACCCAAGGGTCACACCAACTTTATTTTCATACCCAGATCCCAAAAGGCAGCAAATTGGCGCAACTTTGAATCCACGACATCATTTGGGCATTTCCAAAAATAGCAGCTGGGCACGTAGAACAACGCGGCCGGGGTGCTTTTGGTTCAATTGAAGCGGCATCCAAAAGAAGGCCACGTTGAAGGGGTCGAAGAAACTAGGATGTTCCTTTGACCGCCTCTTGTTGCAGTGAGAAACAAAAACCCACAAACTGACCCTCCATGGGTTTAAAGGGTTTTCCCCGAAAAACTCCCGCAGAACGGCCCAGAACCAGCTCGAGACCCCTTCCCTAAGAGCCCAGGTCATCCCCTGCCAAACTGCGCCGAGAAAAAAAAAAGAGAGAAAAAAAAAACGGATCGCACTCCAAAGAAACCGCCAATATCCAGGGCATGTTTAGGGTCTGAAAAAAAGATGAATGCATTGCCCGTGCTTGGTTGGCCCCTTTTACTGTTTGCATGTGCTTTTTTGTGGATTCACCCCTGCAGGCACAAGGCAAGCAATTTCTGCTGAACGGACACCCGACCAATCGACACCTGGCCGTTGACAAGGGGCCACATTGAACACGTGGAAAGACCAAATCTTCAGTCGAATAAAACACATCGGGGTGTCCAAACAATACGGGGATCTTTGATTAGCTTTTCAAGGGACGCCAAAATCACAACCATGTTTGGGGCCGCCCATATTTTTTTTGGAAGCCAAATGGAAGCCGAAGGAGGTCCTAGCTTGAAACATTGGAGGTCTGTTGCACACAGCCCTTCCCTTGAACACAGACTCGCGATGGTTGCGTTGCCGGCCTTTTGGAAGGGGCATGTTGCAAACCTCATTCTGATTCAGAACCATCCCGCAAGGACTCGTCGCGCGCATGGCCCCAACGTCCGGGCCGAAGTAAGAGTTGCGAGCTTGACCTTTGCGAGCCTGAATCTGTGACTTTGAGGGTACCCGCTTTTCAACAATCATGAAACTGGACATGGGGCTGGAAAAGTCGTTTTCCCAAACCCCACATGGTCAGCTCCCATGATGTCTTGAATTTCAGGGTACCCATCGTTTCCCTTTGGGAGGAAAAAAATCAACACGACCAGCGTCGTTTTCCGCGAGTCGTGTCGCGATATGCCAATGGAAAGTGCCTCGCGCATCGCCATGCCCTCCGGGAGTGGGAGCTCCTCACATCGATGCCGAAAACTCTAGGGGTTGCTTCCTTGGGTATGACGGCTTTTTGGGGGTGCAAGGGAGTAAAGTTCTAGGGGTTGATTCCTTGTCCATTCTTTTCAACCATCGCTCTTTTCAAAGACCGATCGCTGCATCAAATACTTGTTTGGCAATCATGCTCAAGTCTCCATGTGAATGATGTCCGCAGGGTCCCAAAAACACAAACATGTCCTTCCAGAAGGGAAAGTGGGAGGGAGAGAATGGCACAATTAGTAATACACTAACCTGTGGGTCAGGTCAACCTTCGCAACTTGTCTGACCAGGGTCCTCCCAAAAAGAAAGAGATTCTTCCACCCAAGTGGGAGCAACCTTGCTTTTTATTGGTGAAAGGAAAACCCAAAGAAAACCCGTACCATTTCGGGGGTTGCGTCGAACTCCCGTTTCTGGAAATACGACATCTTCACCCTTGACCAGAGCAAAAGAAGTCCACCCTAAGCCACAGGGCCCTCGTCAGCATCCCTAAAACCAGGAGCCCCGATCCCGACAGACTGAGAGCATTGACGCTTCCAGCAGGAATTCTTTGCCTTGGTTGACGTTGGAAGGGGACCAAAGATCTAACTTTTAGCAGTTAAGCGGGGAATTCCCACTAAACCGCAACAAGCAAAAATGCAAAATGTGTCCCAACAGCAACCATGTTATGACCCTTTCTGACCACACAATGGAAACCCGCTCAGTCCCTTTCCGTCCACCAACACCGCTGCCGCGGCGAAACCTTTGGGATTCTCAAAGGGGAACGCAAATGGGGTGGTCCTGTTGTTTTCCCTGCAAAAATGAGTCCCTAAACTTGGCTGTCCTCAGATCCCCTGCTAACAGTTAGACTTTCAGTGAGTTAAATGGAAAGTCCCACCAATTAAACCCTAAAAAAACATGAAAAACCTAAGGGTGGGAGCCACCAAGTAAAACAGACACCCGGCCCACCCGGCGCCTCATGCGCATGGGGCTGCAGAAACACCGCCAGCGTCGCGCGCTCGTATCCTTGCGCATGGGCAGAATGCGGCCAGAAGAGGAATTCTTGAGACAAGGGTATGGTATGGGTCAAGATTAAACCACCAGGAATTGGACCGCAGGTTTTGGTCCAGGTTTCCTCTTAGGGTTCCATTTGGGGTACCTATTTTGACCCACAGCCACATGTCTCTTCGTGAAACACAATTTGCGCCGGACAAGGTGCCAGCACCCATGGCTAAGAGGATTTGTTTGGACGTCTTCAGCGGCTCAGGCTTCTTGGTGCCAAAACCCTGGAAAATGAGGTGGTGTCCAAGAGAACGATGGGTGAAGAGAAGGGGGCCCAAGTGGCGCCACGATTTGATCACACGCCCGCGCCTCTGCAGTGCGCGGGCGGGCCTCGCACGCAATGCCTCCAAGGCGAGGCAGGCAAACCGAAGAGTTCGGGGAAAAGCCTCATGCAGAGGTTAACTCAAATGACTTTGGGCAAAAGGACCCCCCTGTTTCCCACCAGCCAGCCAGCCAGCAAACAAAAGAATAGAAACAAACAAGCCAGCCAGCCAGCCTGCCTGCCAGCCAAACAGCCTGCCAACCTGCCAACCTGCCAACCTGCCAAGCACCACAGCAGCCAAGCTCACCCCCCCGCCCCTGTTCGGGCTCCGTCTCGGGCAAGCCCCGCAGGAAAAGAAAAGACCTGCCTGAGGGTAGAATGGCCTGGATGCAAAGCACGAAACCTGTGCATGCAGTACGCCAGTCACATATCTTCCACAAACACAAGCATCCATCTCTGTGGATAGGCGCAAACCCAATCCACTTCATCAAATGCAGTAGCCATCATCTTTCAACCACCCAACCTCACAAACTCTCCCCCAAAGAATGAGAACCTTCCATCCGAACAAAATGCTCAGCTCTAAATCCGTGATTTGGCACCAGGTTGCTCTGTGGCATGGTAGAGGCCGCCGGACACGATTTGAAGCGCCTTCGGGCAACACGGCGGCGCTCCCTCAATTACTCACCAACCCACCATTGAATGGAACACTAGGAGACATGGGTGAGCTCCTTTTACCTGTGGATTGAGTAAAATCCAACCCAACAGTGAATGGGACATTCGTTTTACCTGCAGTAAAACCACATCAAGCTTGATGAGTTGGAAAAACACATGTTGGAACCACTCTGCCGATCCGCCTCCTGAGGCCACCAAAGGCTGCACAAAGAATTAGACCTGCGTTAGCTCCCAAAAACACGCGTGGAGTTTGTGCCGAATCTTGGCATGTCCCTTTCACTTTCAGGGGACGTAAAGGAAGCGTTAAAAGATGGGATTGCGACAAACGAGTTGGTTCCCACAAAAGTGCAAGCAGAGCAGGTACAAAGTTCCGGGACAAAGAAAGCATGCGCGCCTATGACTACTTCCCCAAAGGCACGGCGGAAAAATGGGGCCAGCATGTCCCTTAAGGAACAAGGAAAACGAATCGTGGCCCGCATGTGGCCGGTGTATGATCATGAACATTTCACAAACAGACAGGGGAAGGGCCTGCGAGCCACAATGCTTGGAGCATTGAGGCTAACATAGAAGCTAGAAGCGGCCCAAAAAGTGACTGTACAGAAATGGATAGAGTCTTCCAAGAACTCGATGTAAGCCGTGCAGAATATCGTGACCTTCCTTAAAAATGGCAAAGTAGACCAACCGCAACATATGCCTCTCTCACCTATCTCCTTGCCACCCAAAGAGAGGTGCCTCGCCCACCTGGAAGAAGAGACATTCCCCCACGTCTGGCTTCTTGATCTGGGTAATGGCACCCTTCCTGCGAAGCGTTGTTGTTGTTTTTTCCCCGAGCACGACATGACTCGACTTCTTTGGATTTCTCGAAATGGGAACTTGCATCTCTCAAGGAAGCCAACTCGGCCGTCAATGCAGCCTGCGCATTTGCTGAAGTGCAGTCCAACAGAAAATCCTCTGTGCCACAACACAAGTCAGCTGAAACATTTCTGGAATTGGGCAGTGGAAAATGGGCCTCGCCATGTCACTTTAAAGGGGCCCCAGTTCTCACCATGTTCAAAACGCAGGCTCAAGCCTTCAAAGCGGCCAGTCCGGATTTCCAGCGCAGAGCTTGATCCCAAAAGCATCAAAAACCCCCGTGGAGAATCAACTCACACAGCTCATGCCCTGCAGCCAGAGATGGCAGAAGGCTCTGTGCAAAGGTTAGTGCCCCCTCAAAATCACTGCAGCCCTGTTTGCTGACCTGAGTTGACCATGGTCAGAAAGAGTTTGGCTTTTGATCCTCTAGCATGATGAACAAATCACGGACAAGCTCAAAGTATTTTCTGTTGAAGGTAGAACAAGATGACACCCTTCAGGTCTTAGAGGGCCACGTTGAACCAAAAAGTCCAAGGAGTTCTGAAGCTCAGGGCCATAAAGACTCGAGTTTCTGGGGATCGCAATGGCAAAGCGCGACACAAACAATACGTATTGACTTGAATTGGCAACCGCGTCGTGAACGCCGCTTTGGTAGAGCTCCTCCATCCGGAGTGCGCTGTTTGCCTTTCGGGCGATATCCCTCTCGCTGACAAAGGTGTGCTCCGGATACTCCCCCACCTCTCCCCGGAAATATGATCTACTTCCCCTTGCAACTTCTGGCTGGTGCTTTCAAACGCGGTCTCCTTTGCTTTACCTTGACAGCTGCTGGAGGAATCTGGGTTGGGCTTCCCCTGCATCAAGCTAAACGGGTTGCCAGTTGGTGGGGACACAAAAGTGTCCCAAACAAAACAAAGAAAGGTCGAACCCAAACACCAGCCAAGGAAGAAGCTGCCTGCTTTGCAAACCAAAAGGCACCCGAAACCGTCGCCCCGAACCCGAAACCGCCCCGAGCCCGGTGGCCTGTCCCGCACGTAGAGCCCCACTTCCTGGTCCGGGCTCGGCTCCGAACCGTCGAGGGACTGGAAGACGCTGGGCACCAAAGCTGTGAGCAGCCCCGTGTCCTCGCCAGCGAGACTCCGCGCAGAGTTTCGCGCGCGAGACGCGCGCGCCTTGGTGTCTGAGGAAAACCGTTTTTCTCGTTGCCCCCCAAGGGTGAAGGCCTGGCGGTAAAATGGACTCCGAAACTATATCAAGGTGGGCCAGCCGCAAATGACTGCCAGCTGCATGTCACTTCAGGTTGCCCACAAATACCGCACAAAATGGGACGAACTCCATATCAACTTGTGATTCCATTTAAAGTAGCGTTGGTCGCGCACATCAAGGTGTGCCCAAAGAGAAAGAGCGCTTAAGTTGCTTAGGGGCAAGGAGGTAGTCTTGCCAGCATACTGCGGACGCTTGGCTGCATTCATCCTTGAGCTTTCCACTTTCAACAAGTTCACGGGCACTCAAGAGCCACGCGCACACCGGGCATCCCTAAGGCCGACGAGGTTCTTACCCTTGCCAAGGCCTTACAAGGGAATCCATGGTTGTCCGGGGTCCATGTTTCGACACTGTCCCAAGCAACTGAGGAACTCTGAGGGAATCACACATTTGGCAGGGTGTAAGGCTTGGCGCAGTCCAGCAGCAGTGACCACTGCTAACGCCACTCTGTGCGTTGTCCAAAGCCATGATTGGACCTTCAAACGAATGTTGCACAGATTTGGCAAAGTCCCGGGCCGCCTTAGCACCAAACCACCAAAACGTCCATCTCAAAAACATGGCCCCCCTCCCCCCCTCCCCCCTTGCCCCCTTCCCCCCCTTTCCCCCTTTCCCCGGCCGCCACTCAGATCGCTCCCCGCGCCTTGTGGGGAGGTGCCCACATTCCTTTGGCCTTGGCCCTCTGCTCCGCCGTCTCAAAGTCCTCGGATCTCCGAAAACACGCCGCCCCAAAACGCGCGGCGCCGAAGAGCGCCTGCGGCGGCGGCCCTGAAGAAAGATGTTTGGGAGGGACAAGGAGGACTCCCTGAACCTAAGGCTCCATGCTCGAAACTGGAGAAATCAGAGAAAAGCATCTGCGTGGCGCTTTCAACCCGGCAACAGTATCAACTCTTGGCTAGATGCTGGTCTCCACGCGCAACATATGCATTGCAAGGGTTCCCCATGTGCGCTGAAGGCGTTGTCCAAACGGCAACACGGCTAAGCTGAGCATCTAACGTGTCTCAACAGATATCCCCGCATTACAATAATATTACATGTACAATGTTGCATGTAGATGATATATGTTGTATATATATATATATTCTCGGGTGAAACTGAAACCACTACCTGCACCACGATGCATGCAACCCACCGCGTGCGCAGTGTAGTTATGGAATGTTGATGATATTATTGTATGGTAATTATAGATAATAGTGTGGTTGATGTTTTGCAAAATAAATAATAGGGTATAATGAGGTATATAAATTCGCCGAGGGGCGTGGTAGCAGATGAGGCGGCACTTGTGGTTGCAGCTCTCTGGCGGGCCGATGAGCCGCAGCAAGGTGCCGGGGCGATAGCCCGGCAGCATCTGGCGTGAAGCTATGAACGACTCATGCGGAACTTCCAGGACATTGGCTGTGGGTCAAAAATAGGAACCCAAAATAGAACCCTGGTAAGTGGTAATATAGGACGGCGCTTGGTTGTTTCCATGTTGGGTTGTCCGAGTAATCCCAGGGTGTCAGAACAAGTCCCAGCAAAGGGCTTCCTAGCAGGAAGCATCACCAAATGATGAGATAGTTTGACTTACTTTCCCCTGGCCTTCGTCAACTGCACAGCTCGCTCCTGACTTCTCGCTAAGACCATGCAAAGCCCCCACCCCCCCAAGCATCTTGCTGGGTCCTTCAAAGTGACATCCTCGCTTCCTCTAGATGAGTTGAAAAGGAAACCACCTGCAGCAAATTCGAGAACAGCTCAAAAATCAAATTCGAGAACACCTCAAACATGCAACTGCCTAAGACCCAGCAACCCAGCAAAACCACGGGGAAGTGGCCCACCACTGTTTCAACAACTCCTGTTGGCTTCCCGTCAAAAGTGGATCGCGGTCTAATTGTCAAAGATATTAGGATGTGTCCTTTCTTCGGGGGGACCCCCCCTTTTTGGTTGGCTTCTATTTGGAAACTCCAAGAAAGACCCACCCTTTTGGAAGATCCAAAGCCTAAGCTCCAAAACACCCTCTTCTTGAAAACTTGGCTTTTACTTGGGAAACAACTTCGGAAACAACAATTAGGTTCGGATCTTTTTCTCTTTCTTTCTTTTTTTTTTGGGGGGGGACCCCCCCCCTCTTTTTGCTTCCTTTCGGAAGATCCAAAGCCTGTTAAGACACCCTCTCTTGAAAAACAACTTGTCTCTTTTTCTGTGGGAAAACAAAAAAGTCGGTGAACGGCTCCTTTCGGGCGGCGCTTCTCTGCCTCAGACGCCCCGCCCAAAGCGACTGCCGCGGCCGACCGCCGGACTCGCCTGGGCGCAGCGGGCGTCCACCGCCGCCGCCAGGCGCCGGGCGGTGCGCACCAGCCAGGGGCAGGCCTCTGACTCGAGCGAGGCGAGCGAACGAACGGCGCAGGCCCAAAGGAACGAGCCGGTAGAAGAAGGCCACGGTTGGAACCCATTTTGGTTGGAACATGTATCTCTCTCATTTTGGTTGGAACATATTGTATCTATGTTTATATATGTTTGGTTAGATGTTTCCAGGTGGGTAGAGGAAGAACAGAGGAAAAGCCCTGGTGGTTGGAAGGATCCCATGGTGGAACCTAGGGAAAACCCATGTTGGTTGCAGGGAAATCCCTGGTGGCTGGAACCCACGTTGGTTGCAACATGTCGATTTTTGTTGCTTCGCCGTGGGCGCCGTTGGGGCCATTCTGGCTTCGGGTTGCTTTCAAGGGCCCTTCTCTTAAGCCCGGGTTCCGCGTCCGCGGGTTGAGTCGAAACATCCTCCCAGCTTGTTTGCCCATAACACCCTGCAAACGGTTCCGCACCAATCCATGAAAGACCCCAAAAGGTGCTAACGGGGTGGCCCCAAAAGGACGTGACCTCCAAACTGCGCCAAACACCCGGTTCCCAAACAATCCATGAAACAAATTCGTCCCCAAAAGGTGCTAAAGGTGGCCCCAAGAGGACGTGACCTCCTCCAAACTACTCCAAGGTGTTTCAGCAGAGTACGTCCTGGGCCCTGGGTTCTTGCACCCAAGCGCTTTTGTCATGATTTCAAATGATTTGCCTACTTGGGAAACCCCCCAAACCAAGTGCAAACACCCGGTTCCCAACCAATCCACCAAACAAACTTGTCCCCAAAAGGTGCTAAAACAAGTTTTTCCAAGGGGACCACTCCAAGGCGTTTTTTCTTGGACTTCAACGACCCCAAGGGGTCACAATGCGACCCCGGGACCCCGAAGCCAGGCCTCGCGGGCCCGGCGCCGCAGCTCCGGGAGCTCCTTGCGAACACCGCCAGCCGGGCGGATGTCCCATGGCCAGGCTGGAAGAAGAGGACCCCAGCAAAAAAAATAAAACTGTTTGCCTGGTTGGTGGAAAACAAAGGGACCCCAAAGAAGCAAAAACAAACAAAAAGGGGAGCTATTTCTGGGGAAGTTTGGGCGGCGTCCTTTTTTCTTTTTAAGGGTGCCCCTTTTCACCATGCTCCGGGGGATTTTAGCCCATAGGCCCATGGTTCAAGAAGCCATAAGCCATATATATATATATATTCTCATCAGTTCGAGGTGTTCCGCCAATTTCTTGCTAGTCAGGGGTTCCCCCCCTTACACGGATCCGTCCCCTCGCTCCTCTGGCCACAAGCTGGGCGCGTAGAAGGTAGGCTCCGGCACCAGGTCTTTTGGAAGGCACTCCGCGGGATTGTCCAAGGAGGGGTGGAAGTAGAACCCAGTGCGGTTCCCGTCCACGCCTGGGAAGTCGTGAAGTGGGAACAGGACTCCCGCTTGTTCGGAATACGTGTACATCTATATCTGTATATATATATATATATATATGTGGCACTGATGTATATGTGCAACTATATATATATAGATATAACCTGAAACAGAATCTCCACCATACACATACGTTCAAGGACTTCTGGACTTTCGATGACCATTGTCATGTACAATGATCAACGTGTGTATGCCAACTGACTCCAACCTAGATAACTCCTACCCAGCCTCACATGGTACAAAGGTGTATGGTTGCCGTCCACGCTTCAGGGGCAGGAATTCAAAGCTCTTGTCATAAACGCCACGGAACCCCCCCCCCCCCCGGTTTGGTATGGCGTAATTTGCGCAATCTCAGGGCATTGTTCTCTTCTTTGGGTGGCTCTTTGGGGTCCTGACCAACACCTGGAGGGATGAAAGAACCGTGCTTGATTGGATCATTGGCCAGACTGGCCAAACGAGGATAAATAAATCTTTCGAAGGAGAAAAAAGAAGAAGAAGAAGAAAAACCGGCTCAACATAAATCAACACCAGAAAACCAATGGGCGGCCAAGAATGCGGCTCCATATGTATGTATATATATATATATATATGTGTAAAACCGGAACAAGCCAATGAGTCTCTGGTCCAAGAGGGACTCAGTCAGGTTTGTTTGGAATTGGGGAACAACACCTTTCCGAAACAGGCATTCGCTGGAGGGCATATAGGACCCCGTTGCGTGTTCAATCTGAAAAGATCCACAGAATCCAGGGAAAAATTGCCTTTCCCAGAAGGTGGTGCTTAGAAACAGCCAAGAGGTGGAGTACACTGCGGGAGCTCCGACAACTTCAAAGCTCCAGGATGCCGTTTTGCCATCAACCCTCTTCAAGTCTGCAGGCAAGGTGCAAAGCTTGCTTGCGGGAACAAGGCTCTCGAAACCCATTCCCGAAGTCTGAAAGACTGCCCTTCATTTACCCTAGCTTGGAGCGAATGGCTTCTGTTGTGTGTGTGTGTGGGAACCCTGGCAACTTTCCACGCGAGAATGACTTCTGTTGAATAAAGCGGGGAACGATCTAGGGAGCGGCTTGTTCAAAGACCATTTCAGCTGCCCGCCCGCGTCCTCTGGAGAAGTTGTTCACGTTCAGCGTGCCCCTCTCACGGATCGCATCCTGGCAATCAAATGATTCCGCGAAATCTCATCCTTTTCATAAAAAGGGATTCAAATCCAAAGAGAGGGGAGACTCGACTTGTGCTCTGCAAAATTGATTCCACAAAATCTCATCTTTTCAATATACGGGATCAAATCCAAAGAGAGGGGGGACTTCCTGAGCGGTCAGTCTGTTCATATGATTTGCTTCTCCCAAGCTAAGTTGGAATCCAACTAAATCACAAAAAGGTGTGCCAGTCCTGTTACAATGCATGGTTGCTTTCAAACACATTACATATTCAAAAAAATGATCTTGGAAATCCTTTCCAAGCCGTGCATTGCTTATCTGATTCGGTCTAATTGTTCCACCTCCTGGTTCTCCTTAAATCCTATTCCGAAACAAACTCGGGGAACATCAAATTGCTGCTTGAAAATGGAATCAAACTAAATTGTGAGTGGATCTTGTCTAAGTGCATTCGATGTTTAAAGACACTGCAATTCGCAGTGCTTTGCAGCATTTGTCCTATCATTGTGTTGCCCTTCAAAAGAACAGGAACTGAGTACTCCTCGCAGCAAACAAGTAGGATCTCAATATGCAAGAAAGCTTGAAAGTCTTGATGTGTGGAATCTTCAATCCTCAATCTTCGATCCAGAGAAAAAGCTGCGTTGACGTGTTTTGCCAAACAAACATGTTTTCTGGGGGCTTTGAGGGCTGGCCAGGATTGAATAATTATTGTTTTCTGGGAAACTGTCAATACTCAATCATGGATCCAGAGAAAAAGAAAATCACAGGTGTCTGCAACCGCAGAACCACCGGAAGCCAAACTACTTCCAGAAAACCAAACCACACAAATCAAAGAAACCTATCTGTGGGTTTTGTTGGATTGCCCTCACCTTTCCCCTGGCAGATTGCTTTTGTTTCTTAACATGTCTGTCTGTTTGTTGCAATCTAAGCCACCAATCCCAAAGCACCAGGGGTTGACTGAAACATCCATCGGCCAAGCTGAAAACAAACGGGTCTGGAAGCCAGCGAGGCCATGGGCTTCATCTCAAGAGATGACCGTCTCAAGAGACAAGCCATGGCGAGATGGCGGCCTTGCTACTTTCGAAAGTTCAAACCCCTTCCAAAGGTGGTGGCCTTGATATAAACGGATCCAAATCAAGCACCTTTGGAAACATCTCCATTCTGGAGCTGCGTTTAAGACACCCCTCGGTGTCACGTGGAAATCAGGGCCGAGGTCGTGCGTCTTGGCAACCACAAGCCAACACGAGAAGAAGAAGTTGCGCCGAGCCATGGAGCATAGCAATAAGTAGAACTGTCGGCCCATTGCTCTCCAGAACGAAAACAGTGCTGGAAACTCACAAAGCGTCAACACGATTGGTAAGTAGCAACAGCTTTCGTGTTCTGAAGCTGCGATGCAGAAGACAACGCGGAAAATAAGCACAACGAAGAGTCATGAGTCATCCCAAAAAATCGCGTTCCGGAAAAAACATGAGCAACAACTGCGAAACTCAAAGCCCAAAAGCAGTGGTTGGCTGAGGCGAGTGTTCTCAAACCTAGCAGGGTAGTCGCCGACCCGCTGGAGAAAAGATGCTGGTCCAGAATCAGGATTGGCCCCAGAGTCTCAGAGTAGTTACTCAGGAGCAGACTACTTGTCTCCATTGCCCGCCGGTATTGAAGAAGTAATTGGTCGAACGGCCCAAAGAGCCATCATGAACACCCTCTACCAAGAAAATAGTTTTTCCCGCTTGACCTGACTCGGAAAATGTAAACCCTCTTTTGCGACTCCCCTCACAAGGCTAGTCAAAAATCGGGTAATCCCAAAATGGGCTGCCCTGTGAAGTCATGAAATTCTGCGGTCCATGCCCTAACTCATGTTGGACCCATACCCATGTGGCATGGTAAAATTGTCTGATAGGGATGGTAGGACGTTTCGCCCAGAAAGGGTAGTGTTGAGCCCATAGTACTCAACCCCAGTTTGTTCATAGGGGTGTCCGATTCTGGGTTTAGTGGGGGATGAGACCAGTATTGTAGGGGCCCCCACCCCCCACCCCCCTATTCATAAGATGTTTGGTTCCTTCATACGGGGTCAACATCTCAACCAACCATTTTCTATGAACTGTTTTGCTCCCAGATACCATCTCTCGGTTGCCTTCTGCTCTCCTGCTAAAAGTCTTCAACTGTCCGTGGTGTTTCATGGAAAACCCATGTGGCACAAAGTCAAAGTCCTAGCATCCAAGCAAAAAGCAGCGCCCATCTTAGGACCTGTTTTAGTGGTTGGATCTGATCGGGATGTTCACGAAATTTTCGACCCACCAGGTCCCATCTCTCGGCCACTCGCCTGTGCTTCAGGGGACAGCTTCCCCAGGGCGAAACCCAGCGGCAGCAGATCCGCCCGCAGCTGCCGCACCCGCTGCTGGAAGTCCTGAAACGCGGCAGCGCACTTCCGGGCTCCGCTTTGTCTCGCTTTCAGGTGGCCCAAAGGTGACCTAGGGCTACCAAAGGCTCTAGGGCTACCTTCCGAGCACTTTTCGGTCGAAGCCGAAAAGTTGACTATGGCAAAGTCACGAGCGGCGAAAGAGAAGGCCGTATGGGCCGAAAACCGCGTAGTTCTAGGGGTACCTTCCAATTCCATTCTTTCCGATCCCACTTTCTAGAAAACCTCCGGAATCCCAGGGACAACGACGGTTTAGTGGAAAGAACGATGGTTGAAAAGAATGGGGGATCAACCCCTAGATTAGTTGGTGGTTTGGATCTGGTGCTTGTAGAGGGTAAATAGAAAAACCCTCCTGAACCACCAAACCACCAATCCAAATCACCAATGGATGGGAGGAAGCTGACATTTGGGGTACCCGGAAAATTCTAAATGCCCACAAAACCTCCCTCCCCCCCCAAGAAAAAAAACGCAAAAGAACACGGAAAAAGATTGAAACAACCACTTCAACTGGTTCTTTCCACCGACATGGAACCCAGAAGAGGGTCCCTTTTGGGACATGGGCCAGGACACCCTGACTGGCCAATTGGCATTCTCAAACGATCCTTAAAAACCCCGAGAAAAAAACCACGTCGGCGGAACTCTAACCTGGAAGCTATCAGGAGGGTTGAGGGAGGGTACCGGCTTTCCGGCAACCGCTCCTTCCAAAACTGAGTCACTGCCAATGTTCTGAGACAAAAGGAAATCAGAGTCTGGAAAGCCATATTGCCTGGCACTTCTCAACACCTGGCCGGTGCTTTTTGGGAAACCAGTCTGGTGCCGATGCCGTTTGTTGGCCACTCTCGGCAAACACCAGGAAGCGCAAAGAACTGTGCCCAAACTGACCCTATTCAATTAGCTGATGCTGGTCATTTGGCTTCCTTTTGAAGCATCTCTAAAACGGGTACCCTGAACAAAAAGACAACGCGGGTATAACAGCCAACTCGTGTTCCTGCAACCAGTAACCCAACCAGTTACATGGCTGTGGGTCAAACATGTGTACCCAAAATGGAACCCTGACAAATGGAACCAAAGACTAAAACCTGCGGTCCATATCCTGGTGGAATATTTATTTTTTTTGACCCACACCCACATTTGGCGGGTACCCACGTGTTCCTGTTCACAAATGCAACCCAACCCTGCCTCCCCGCCAGTGACGCAGATCAGCCCCAAGCCCTCCGGCCCAAAAGCTGCGTCCAGGACAGCGCTCAGCTCCTCCTGCCAGAGGACTTGGTCCCCAGGATTTGGACCCCAGAATTGGACGCCCCAAAATGGCGGTGGTCCCTTTGAATTCTCTTTAACCCCCTTTTTAAAATACCCTCAAAAATCGACACCCCCAAAAGAACAAAATAAGCTCAGGTGATATCCCCAGCATGCGGTGCTCTTTTTAGTGCTCGCACCACCCCGCAGCCCGCGCAGAAGCTCGTGGAACCCTCGTGGAACCTTACCTCAGGGCCGGAGCCTATCCGGGCACATCATTGGTTGACGGCTGCCTCGTTGGTTTCAGGCGGTGCCTGGCATTAGAATTGGGGGCGTGTTCCGCTGAAAGCCGAGCACATGCAACATGTCAAAAAGTGTAGACTGGGCTGCCCTCACATCCCCGGCTAAAAGTTTAACTTTTTGTGGGCTAAATGGAAACTACCACTAAACACTAAAAGGCTAAAAACTAAGGGGATGGCTGGGAGCCACCAAGTAGATAGGCGGCGTCTATCAATCTTATGTTTTGCTGCAATCAAGTGTCTATCAGCGCGTCAAGATTCAGCTCACTCCGTGCCAAGCTACTGAAAGGTCACCGTTGGATTTGTCAACATAATTTGGCAACTACTGGGAAATGGGGCTCGGCTCTTTAGAATGGAATGCGATCGAATCAGCCACAAGTGTTCTGTTCGCTTGCGTGCTGAGCACTTTGATTTAAGGCGACAAGGCGAAGGGAGAACCGAAGATCTCAAAGCAAGAAGACTGGTCAAAGTTTCCAAGCGCCTTCTTTTGCCTCAGGAACAAGGAGCCAATCTCGGGGTTGCTCCTGCAAAGGGGTCCCAAGAAAACATTCCTCAAGATGAGCGAAGTTGTCCCCAGTTCGGGTGACTTAGCTCTCCTAAAGCCTGGGGTTTCTGGTTGCCCAAATCCAAAATCAGCTTTGCCTGATAGATGCATCTAAATATATTCGAGAACTGTCTGCTCGGGGTCACTTTTGTTTCATTCCCCTTGGCTTTTAAACACTGGTGCGGCTAGGGGCGTCGACCACTGTAGTTTACGGACCAGAGCGACGGACTTTGGAGGTGTCGACCACTTTGCTCAATAATTAAAGAGCATCGAAAGCGGAACGAGCCATGTCGAGCTCGGAAACGGCACTTGCACAATTCGACTTGTAAAGAACTTCAATGCCGTCGAATGACTTTGAAAGCTCGAATTTGTAAGCGCAACATCTGCTATCTTTAACGAGACATGTCAAAAACTGCACGCGATTCTGCCTCCCGCACCTTGCAGCCCGTGAGTGTGTGTGTGTGTGTGGTGCGCGCCTTGGATTGTCTCAAGTTTCAACCCTTTTTGTCAGCGGAAAAAGGGTTCCTTGACAACACGATGCTGGAGGTGTTGACAACTTTGGTCATCTAAGCCTGTCAAGACGTCTGGATGAAACAGTGCAATTTCGCAATTATGTGTGCAAAGAACTTTGATGCCTTCGTATGACTCTGAGGAGTTTGGAAGCATGACATCTGCTTTAAGCGAAACGTGTTAAATTAAACTGCACGCTTGCCGCATGTGTACCTTGAATCATCCCACGTTTGCAAGCATTTTAAGCTTCATGTTTGTTGCTGGGAAGATTTGGGAAAAGGCTTCATTCCGACTTTGAGTTGCGTGTCCTTTTGCGATGAGGTGAATCCCCTCAGGACACACCACGGAAAAGTAGCAAGCAAATCCATGGATATACAATAGCTCATCATGTAGCTACTGCTTTTTACATACCAAAGTCCTGTACCGGGGGCGGGCTCTTCCTTGAATATAATATATATATATATACACACACACATGAATCTATATATGTATATGCATATGTATGCTTGAAATACATATCTATAAATGTATATATATATATAATATCACTCACTCACACGCACCAGAACATAATTTCGCCTGCAGGCCAAGCGTGTCGCCCGGTTCGTCGCCCAGCTCTGGTAGCGAGGCCACATCCACGCACGGCAGCGCCATGCAGGCCGTGAAAAAATATGATTCCAAGCCCTAGAGCATTTCTTGTAATTCTCGCCTTGCCGGCTGGGCCAGTAACCATTAATATTGTAATTGTTGTAGTTCAAATTGCAACTTGTGGCTGGAGTTTCGCGGGGAACCAAAATCGCAGCAACCGATACTCTAGGGCTCCCCAACAAAATTGAGATTGGGGGGGCATGTCATATGTTCCCACGGACATGGACAAATTGGGCTCAGGCGGGAGATTTCGTAAGAAAAAAACCCTCCTCCTAAATTGACCATAGACGAGTGAGGATTCGAACCGCATGTGGCTCTTCAGCTCTCATGTCAAAGGCGGGCTTCAACTACTAGGTCCTCCAGTAGAGAGGTTAGAATAAGGGTACCCTTTTCTCTGTAGTCTATTTTGGCTGGCTACATACGGGGGTAACCATGTGCATAGGCTCCCTTCGCCATCATGGCATCATGTAATGCATGATCTCTGCCGCTCTTGCGTCTTTGGCAAGGCTTCAAGCTGAAGCCGGCACGGCGTTGGATTGAAACCAAAGCATGGACGTGAGAAGTCGAACGACTCGTGAGCCGAAGAAACTGGTTCCCACAACCCTGCTCCCAAACGATTGGCTCATTGATCCGGATGGCTCAAACGGCCACATGTTCATGTCGGATGGCTGTGCCATCCACCGGCACTCTGAGACTCTGAGCTGGCGACCTGCAATGCTGAATGCCTGCATGATGGCAGCTGGCCCCCAAATGTTGATGTCGTCCTGGCACAGACCCTGAGCTGAACTGCCAAGATGTGAGGCTTGTGCTGCTTGTGCTGCTTGGCTTGTGCTGCTTGTGCTGCTTGTGCTGCTTGTGCTGCTTGTGCTGCTTGTGCTGCTTGTGCTGCTTGTGCTGCTTGTGCTGCTTGTGCTGCTTGTGCTGCTTGTGCTGCTTGTGCTGCTTGTGCTGCTTGTGCTGCTTGTGCTGACTGCCTCGTCGCCACCACGACTTGCTGCCGCTTGAATAGTTAGATGGCTTGTATCGTTTGTCATGCTTACTGTTGGAGTACCGGTTTGGGTGTGCGGTCCTGAAAATGATGCTGTTTGCTTACACATGCGCCACCCCAAACTTCCAATGATATGACCAACGGAGCAAGCCATGTCACCATCCACTTTGGCCAAGCTCATGTCCTGAGATCGGCAGAAACATGTAAGGCTGCATCCGTTTCCGGTTGCCAGTTGCTCTGCAAAGCAAAGAACCCAAGACACTTGCCATCCGGTGCCCAGGGGTCATGGGATGTGTTTGACCTTGGCACATCTCCTGAACACGGGAGCGTCCTTTCGTATGAAAGCAGTGGAACCCATCTACAAACCAGATGGCAGAAAGCACACCTCAATCCATGGCAGGGATGCCAGCACGTCCAGCATGGAGTTGGTGCCCCGGATGGCGAAGACCACCGTGGTGTTCCTGTCGGCACAAGGTCTGGCCAGACTTGGTTGACGTTGGAAGGGGAGCAAAAATTTAGATTTTAGCAGTTAAGTGGGGATTTTTCCCACTAAGCCACAATAAGCAAAAATGTAACATGTTTCCCAATGAATGCAGAGGTGCCCTCTGAGGCTAGTTTGGGTGAGAACAAATGGGTTCCACGTCGCTCAGTTTGGTCGTTGTAGCCGGACTTGTTGTAGTCTCCACGGCACGGCGTGAGTAGTACCGGCGGTATTTGGGGGATTCGATCCGCCCCAACTTTGTACTGTTCGAGTAACATCGCGCTACATCGCCTATTTTGGTCGTTGTAATCATTTACCAGGACACCTAGGTAATCACAACAAGGTGTGCCCTTGTCAAAAAGAAACACATGTTTGATCATTGCTCATTGTTTTTCTTGAAGCAACAGCAGGAACAAGATAAATGAGTGAGGCCCCTGGCTAATTTGTGGGGTAGTTTGGGGGTCCGACGATATCCTCTCAAATATACCACCGGCTACTGGGAATGGTGACCGAACATCAAATTGTTTGAACAACTTCCAAAAGTTTCGCGGGCATAAATTCAGCCATGGTTTTTAATGATGTCCAGAAAAAGGGTCCTAAGGAAAATCATATCCAAGTGTCGTGATCAAAACTCTCCGTGTAGGTCCAGGTCGTGGTTCCCTCAAAAGGAATCTGCAGAATTCCCCTCAGAGTAAGTTGCACCCGTACACACAGTATACATTTATCCCTCATACCAATGGTACTCCTTCTAACTGATGTCTCATTTCTCTATCAAGCGGCCCATGACTGTTTGTACGGACCCCACATGTTGTTGCCGTGACCAACTGAGGGTCCGCGCTCTGGATCCCAGAACTCGAAGAAGGTCGTCCTCGCGGGGTCAAAAGATTGTGTATACAAGCATATACGTATATGGTGCATATATGTGTATATATATATAATATATATATATATAATACGTGCGTATATATATATATGTACATATATATATATATGGGTATCTGTCAGAATGGGGCGACCACCAAAAACAAGAGTGGCTTCCTTTTGATTTCTTCCCGTCGACCATTTAAATCATTCTGAGCCTGTGATCCTTCTTTCCAGAAACCCGTGGAAACCAGTTCCATTTGGAACTTCTTCAAGAAGCCTTCGCAATGCAAACCTCGAGGCTGCAAGGTCAACAAACGGCTGAAGGCCCTGGTAGGCGGCGGAGTGATGCAAGAAGCTCTGACTTCTCCGCATGTCTCCGCATCCGCGGCGGAACGAGGGAGAGAAAGAAAAACAAGTCACATAAAAGAAATCAAAAGGCACAAGCAGAAGAAAAGAGAGAGAGAGAGAGAGAGAGAGAGACTTCGTGAGAAAACAAGCAAAAGAGGAGAAAAAGAGAGAGGCGCCCGGTACCCATTTTCTATTCAAGCTCAAGGCCGCGGGGTGTTCGTCTGTATCCGTCGGCTTGAAATGGGCCCAAGCCTTGACTGCAAGCAGTTCCTGTTCCATCCCGAAAAAGGACGCAGCTGGATTTTCTGAGGGTTCTTGGGAATTAAGGACTACCTAAACTAAACCGATTATGGGAACTAAACTAAACCTAGATTATAGTTCTACCGAAACCATGGGATCCCTTCAAGGAACCTGAAACCCAATCTGTTGGTCCGATCGAGCGAGCTCTTTTCCCTCAGCCCGCGCCATGTGCCCAAGAGATGCAACGCCTCGGACCGCGCTTCATGTCGGGCCGTTGGGTGGATTCCCTTTACTGGGCACGTCAAATGGTCAATCAATGGTAGCAATTGGCCTCGTGGGCAGCTTAGGTAGAGGAAAAGCACCCCAACTCGGGTAACATGCAAGAGCTGTCTCGGGACTTGGAGCCCAAGTGCAAGACAACCATTTTGGGGGTCCATGTCCACAATTCGAAGCCTCAGGAAAGGGGGATGATGGAAAAGAGTCCAAACACCATCTGGGTGTCTTAAAAAGGAGACCCCCAAAGATGCGGTTTACCTTTTGATTCCAAACCAGCCAAGAAGGGGACCCTCAAAAGACAGACTCATCTGAGCAAAGCTAGAAATCATCAACAGACCCAAGTCGGTCATCAATCCAGACGGCAATGCAGCGAATTTTGGCCCTGAGAGCTCTGTGCAGATGATGTTTTGTGCGTGTTGATGTTTGCTATCATCATTAGTTGTACAAGCTTTGCGCAGCACACAAACAAGCTCTGCGCGCTGATCGGATCAACTGGCTCAAGCATGTGCTTCCCTGGAACCATGGAGGTGCGGCAGCATTTCATGTGGTGTTTGCTAGTGTGCCCCGCAAGAGAGCGCTGATGTCCTGAAGCTGTGTGAATGTAAGACAATATTGTTTTGGCTGATTAGCCTTCCACCGACATTGTTGCATAAGCAGGTGGGGAAGAAAAAAAGGGAACCCCCCCCCCAAAAAAAAAAAAAAACGGAGGCTATCCAAGACTCCAGGTTGATCAAATGAAGTGGTCAGCAGTCACCGCAAGACCAGCTTTCCATCCCCATGATTCAATCATATCACGCGGTGAAAGATTCCCAAGAGCTACATCCCAAATACCTTGGTTGCCCTGGCTTGGACATCTCCAACTGAAATATGTTTTGGCCATTTCCTCGACTCAACTGACATGCTTTGCTGATTCTTTGGCCATCCCCCCCCCCCCACTCCGCGCGCGGGGGAAAATCGGCGCAGACTGCGTGGCCCGCGGCTCCGACCTCCGCGCCTGGCGCCACGCGGCGCCCTTCTCGCAGGCGCTGATGGCGGCCCCGCAGCCCACGGCGTCGAAGTCGTCGCTGGCGGCGAAGAGGCGCAGGGCCACCTGCGACCAGCGACGGGCGACCGGCGGCCGATCGATGCCGATGGAGATGGAGGGCTGGGGTTTTGGGAGGGAAACGACCAGCGCGCCAAAGATGCCCGGTCCAGGGTTTGCCCAAAGCTTGTGTAGATGTATATATAATAATACAATGTATAAATATGTGTATGTATATATATATATATATATATGATATATATATATATATATATATATGATATATATATATATACATATATATATTTATTTGAAATTTACAGTATTTTTGCCTTTGGGTGCTTTGGAGTGTGGAAGTTGGCGGGAGGCGAAAGGGGTGCGCATCGCCCAAAGCACTGTACGGAGAGCACCATGTGCAACCGAACCAATACCTCGCTACCTGCGTCAATGGGGACGCGAGCGGTTTTGGAGCAGTGTGGTTCTGGGGTGACAGGTCAGCCCCTGGAAGGGCAAGTCCACGCCTTCGCCAAAATTCGGGGACATTGGGGTGAGGGGGCTCCTTCTTGAGAGTCCCGTCGGCGTTTGTGCGTGTCGTCCAATTGGCTTCAGGTGCGGGGCTCCGTGCCCCACTGCAATTTGAGTTCCGATCGACTCTGGAAGGTTTCGCAGTCGAAGTTCCGTAGAGCGAACTCCCGCAGCATATTGCTCTCCATGGGCCAAGCCCAAGCTGAAACCACTCGAGTGACGCGACCCGCCTCTAGCCTTGTGTCGGCCGTTTGAATAGAAAAGCGACTCCAAGCATGCACGGAAGTCGGCAACACGTCGAAATTCCTTGCTGAGGGCATCCGAGTGATGCAAACCCCCCACAAAAGTTTGTTTTAATAGAGTCTACTTTGGGCCTTAGGCCGTGTTCGGCCCCCATTGGGATTGCAGCCCTTGTGGGGGGATCTGTTGAGCCGGTGACCAGAACCCCCTCAGACAAACTGCTCCTTCCTATGGAATTGAAATATTTCAAATCCTAGGTTAGGTTACCGGGGCGCCTGCCAGCGTGCCGCCTTCTCACATGCGGTGATGGCAGCATTGAAGGATGTCGTTGTCCTCCTTTCCAGATCCCGTCCCAAAGGCCAAGAGCAGTGAGCCGTGGGCTTTAGGCAGCACATGGGGCTTGGGATTTTTATAGCAAGAATCAACACGAACGTTAAAGGGCCCTGAAACAGGGGCCCTTGACTCGTTCTGGCCGTTTGCCTGAAAAGACGGTCGCAAAAACCGTCGCACAAAAGATTGCCAGGCCCGGATCCTTCTGCAAGGTTGCTAGGGCAAAACCCTGACACAACGGATTGGAGTCCATGGGATTGCTCCTGGTTTGCTCATTTCGAAATAACATGTTCCAACGCGCGCACTCCAGTTGGACAACCCTGTCGATTCACCCAAGTGGATACTTTCACCCTGTCGGAGACGAGCTCGTCATCGTGCTGATCATTCGTCTGGTCATAACCAAATGTTCTACCTCAAGGTGGTTGGTTTGGTCATTGTACTGATTATATGTCTTTTGCTTCCCTGCTGATTGAGACCGTTCTTTACCCTGAGATAGGGGACCAAAGCAAAATGGGTTTGACCCTTGTATGGATCAGTTGGCTATGGGTCAAAACCCCGTACCCCCAGTGAACATCCCAATCACTAAACTAGACTCAAATGGGTGGTGCACCTACCCCAAATTGATTCAATTGGTTTTGACCCAGAACCATTTGGCGATCAAAGGATCCGCCCAAAGGTTGGCACGGCGATGGCTCGATCGCTCGGTCACCCGAATCCTTCCGCATCCCAGGTGTGCAAAGAGCTGCAGCGCTCTCAGCCACTGCCCGGCTACGGCGCAGCTGCTCATAGCAGCGTTGCAGGTGATTGTGTTCCTGGGAGCACGATGATCGCGTTCCATTCAGAGAGAGAGAGAGAGAGAGAGAGAGAGAGAGAGTTGTTTCAGTGGATGCCCGGACAATTTGAGTAAAATTCCAGCCACAAACCATGCTCCTTTTCCCCTACTTGCAAGGTTTGGGGCATCCATCATCATATATGGATACAAGTTTGCTTCTGGTGATGCCGGTTCTTTTATCACTTAACAGAAAGTGGTCCTGACGCCCATTGCTCACACCAAGAATCTGGCCAGCGGCTGCGCCTTCTTGCTTTCTTCTCGGTACAAGCTTGTCGGACCCGGAATCATACACATTTTCGGGGGCCGTATGTTTTTCCGATTTGTCTACCAAGGACCACCTTGGCTCTGCCACGGGCGCCCGGGAACGATGCACCTGTTTGGGCGACCGGGACTCTGGAGCCACAAAGGGTACTGCAGACGAGAAAGCCAAAAGGGTTCTACCACCCCTCATTTCAGTTCTAGCCAGATCTGGGACTTTCTGCAATGTGCCGACAGTTGAGCACAAAAATACAAAATACCTATCAACGATGCAAATAGAGCTCGAGGACTCTCGCTGATGCTGGAATGGTTGCGTGCGCTTCATTTGATTTGGAACTTGTGCGACCCGCCCCCCAAAAAAAACAGAAACATCCATGTATGGAGTCTCTTTGCTGCAGAGGCCATCATATGTCTCGTTAAAACCCAAAACCTCCCTTGGTCCAATCTTTCAAGTGAGTCTCCTTTTGGCTGGGTGTTGTTTGAGAGGGACATATGGCATCCTTCTTGCAGGAACCCCCTTATGTCAAACAGAAACCCCAAGCCATTCTTCGGGCGGGGTCCAACCCGCCAAAAAACGAGACACGCCCATATAAGGAGGCCCCCCTCTTTGGGGAGCCCCTTTTGTTGTCTTGGGAGGTCCACCCTATCCAAAAAAACGAGACACGCATATAAGAAGCCCAGCTAGCCAGTTTCAGGGGGTCCAAACTACCAAAAGACGAGCCACACGGGAAGCCCTTAGACACTGTCCAAGGCTCCAAGGCAGCGATTGGCGTCGCATCTCCCGCAGCAAGTGCAGGGCCTTGGGCCAAGCCGGCGCGGCCTCGGGCCGCAGTCGCCGGAGTCCCTTTTGAGAAGTTGCAAGTGGCTGGCGTTCTTCTGAAACGGCCACTGTTGGTCCAAAACAAGAAAGGGAAAGGGAGGGAAAGGAAGGAAAACATGAAACGGCCGCCTTTGGTCCAAAAAACCAGGGAAAGGACCAAAAAACCAGTGATTGTGGCCTCCTGAGCGCAGGGGTTGAAGCCCATTTGAGCCGCCGAACCCGCTTTTTGCGGCCCCGATCGAGGCGCCTTGGCGCAGGCGTCGATGGCCGCGCCGAAGCTGACGACGCTGGGGCGGAGCTGGGCTCGGCCCATGGCCTGACTCGACTGGCTATGGCTCAAAATCAAAGAGCTGGGGCCAACCCCGGGTTTTGGTCCTTCCATTTACCAAGGTGCCATTTTGGTGCCACTTGTTTTTAGTCTTTGGTTCCATTTACGGTGCCATTTTACCAAGGTGCCATTTTGGTGCCACTTTGTTGAGCCGCAGCCATTTGCCCGGAGAAGGGAGGCAAAGTTCGTGCCGTGCGCTGTGGTCGAAAGGGCTGTAGAAACTGCGCTTTCGTCACCGGTGAGAAAACTGCCGCTAGATAGGAACGCCCTGAGAAGCGGAAGTTGCTGCTTAGTGCTGAGAACTCACAGGTTCCATTGGTTTTGTCCAACCTCAACGAATCATTCCATCAAAAGGAAACCCTTCAGTAAGCTCTCTCCCAAAACCATTCTAATGTTAACGCGCGATTGGTACACCCCCCCCCCCCGTGATTAAAGGTATCCCCCTGCAGCCCTGAAGCCAAAACAACCTGCCAGAAAAGGGGCTTTTATTGCTGCTTTGTATTTGCTTAGTTTGCCCTTAAACCCACCAATACTAAGTCACCAAACATGTGCTTCCCCCAAAATGTGCGTTTTCTTTCAGTTTAGGATAACAAGGTGTTCAAGCTCGCAAAGGGTCTTTGGAGGCCAGCCCCGCCTCATTAACAGAAAACAACAAAACTGCTGTTGCTTTTTTAAAAGTCCTATTGCCCAAAAGGGGCCAGATGTAAGAGGACGAGGACCGAAGGGGCTCCAGATTAATCAGGGTCCTCCCAAAAGTCTCAGTTTGGGGGATTTGTCCAAACCTTGTCGACCTTGAAGGGGGAGAGCGGGGTGGGGGGGGGGGGTGCTAATCAGTTGTGCCCATTAGCGATTTTCAGCCCCCACCCCGCCACCCCACCTACTACCATGCCCTTTGTTTATGTGACACCAACAATCGTCCCAATGGGGGGGGGGGACCTATTCATCTTGCTTCGAGTGTTTTGGAAAGGAAGGGAAACCAAAAGGCCGCCCCACCATTTTGGAGGGTTTTGGCAGGCCAAATACTCCGTTGGAGCGCTTTAAAGGGACGGAGGCGTGCGATTCGATGCGTTGGCATCCCACCTTCCTTCGCAGTTTGAATGGCCCCCTGCAGAAACAAAGCACATCCTGTTTGCCGCACAGCCGAAGATGAAGTGCCCCACGTGTGGCCTTACTCTCAACCCCTAGTTTGACACCACCCAGGTTGGAAAAAAACCATTTTGGGGGGTCCATGTTAGTAGGAAAATGTCTGAACCAAATTCCATAGTTGAAAGGATTTGGAGTTCTACCTGGGGGCCGTTCAATATTGGGGTCCAACAAATGGGCTTCTTCCGGATGCTACACGTACCAGTGCAAGAACGGGTCCGAACCGGAGCGAATTCGAGGGATCAGCCGACGTGGGGCAAGGCGCTAAGACAAGGTCAAAACGGGGCCCGACGGCCCGACGGAGGTGCAATCCAAAAACCTGACACAATCTCTACATCAGAACTTGGACGAGAGAAGGCCTGGGCACGCAGGCAATTCCCCGAGTTAGATTTGCGAGAAGGAAGGGTTCCACAGTCAAGAATAAGAATGCAGTTTCAAGGAGAAAAAAGGCCCATGCGAGTTCCCTGGGTTGGGAATGGGCGCCTCTTTGCGTGTTCAGTAGCTGGGATGTCACGAGTTTCCACGGAATCACGCGGCAGGTCCCCGGCCCCTCACGTTGCCGTGGACACACAAGGATCCACTTCAGGCACACAAGGATGCACTTCAGGTTTCAGAGAAGGGGTGCCGGACAGACACACGATAGCAAGCAAGAACGCTGCAAAGAAAGACGTTTCACAAAAGTTGGCAAGAAGTCCAAGGTTGGCACCGTAGTTCTTTAGCCGCACACTTGGCCGTAGTTTGGACAGCAGCCTTTCCACGAGTGCATGTTAGGGAAGAATTGAAGGAAAACTTGGGCGTTCCATTTGCCTATGGCTCAAAAAACTGGTACCAAAATGGAACCTTGGTAACTGGAAACGTGGACCAAAACCCGCGGTTTGCCCCTCCTGTTTAATTTTGAGCCACAGCCATTTAACTACCTCCACCAGATGGCAGAGGTCTAGCGCCTTGCTACCTGAGCCCTCCAGGCGTTTGAGCCCCAACAGCTTTGGAAACCTCCTGCTCATTCGGCCGACTCGTTTCGTCGCATGAAATCGGGGTGTCTCAAAAACGTGGGAGAACCCTCAAATGCGTGGCTTCCATGTCCTTTCCCCAAAAAACCCACCAAATCCGAGAACATAGGTGGCCTTTTGGACAAATAGATGGCCCTGGGAAATGAAAATGAACCCATCTGAACCAGTGCCATCCATTTTTAAACAAAACCTAACCAAAGAAGCACACCTAGCCCAAATTTTATTGTCTTCCATTTGCCCTTTCCCCCAAAAACAATACCAAACCCCGAGACAAAGCGACGACCCCGAAAAAAGCCCACCAAACCCGAGAAGACAACACCAACCCAACCAAGCGCCGCCCCACCCAATGCGTCGAAAATTCGGCGAAGACGTCGCCTCAAGGAGCCGCGCGGCTTGTTGCCACTGCCCGCCCTTGCCACAGGCCGCCAGCGCTGCGTTGAAGCCCACGAGGCCCTGAAAACCGCGGACGCGACGCGAGGAGAAACCCGCCCAACCTCTCCACATGACTCGCTCGTCTTCCCCAAAATGGCTTCGGCTTTCCTGTTGTTTAAAAGCCAGCAAACCGGTTGTGGACGCCCTACTCACCCTCTTCCCTTTTGGGTCCCAACACGAAACCCCCCCCCACCAAACCTGTCATTGTCCTGTTGATGTTTCGGGGTCAGAAAAACTGGACGAAAACATACCAGCCACAACTGAGGATTCCGAGGAATGGTTGTTCGCGGAAATGGCTTTTTGAAGTGAACGAAAACTTTTGCGGTGGAGTGGGTTGAATGGCAAAATCCAGTGACACTGCAACCCAAACTGCCAGGGGAATCAGCCTGGAGCCAAGCGCCGAGCCTCTCGGACTCGAACTCATCGTTGGTTCTCAGGAGTTTGTCGTTCTGAGTCTGAGTATGGACCGCTTTCTGCACGGCTTCCAGGCTATATGTTAACAAACCAGGGTTGTGAGTTGGCATCGGTGTCGATGCGTTGTCTGTGCAACATGGTAAAGTTTAATTATCATGCCACTTGGAATAACTGTTTCTAGTCCAGTCCACTTACGACATGTTGGGCTTCCATCAACAGTCTCCTGCCTTTGGCAATCGTTTTGCATCTGGGTGATTTGTTCTTCTCTCCTGCAAACTCACATTACGAACCCATGAAAGAGAGACGTCTTTACAAAATATCCTTCTGACAAACCCCAATAGTAATTTGAAGCGCCCTCGGAAGGTTCCTGTGCACTTCCGTGGTTGGTGGAAGGGCGATGCCCTGACAACAAACAAAAAGAGACATGTGGACTAAATCCTGCACCAGTTGCAAGGTGGTTTGTCCCAGTATTCAGAGAGTTTCATCCATCCCAACTGGTGCGATGTGCGTTTTGTCCATCTGCAGTTGCATCCACCTGAACGTTGCCCCAGAATGGTTCCTGGTTGCTTCGATGGCAAAGATCACGCTTAAAGCACGTATTGGGGGACCCTCTTAAGGCTGGTTTTCCTTTCCCTGCAAACCAACCCCCAAAATGGGAGCACCCTCGAACACCACTCACCCTGCCCCGACCGCAAAATCATCCGCCTGCTGCTTCCGCGCGCACAGCCGGAAGATGCTCAGGGCACTCTGCCAGGCGCTGCTGCGGGAGCAGCGGGACATCGCGCGGACCAGGTGGAAGAGGTGGATCGGAGTCCTAGCCCGGCGAATTCCGGGCCCCCGAGATGTCCCCGATATGTCTGGTCTTGTTGGTGGTACCTGGAAAATAAATCTGAACTGCCCCAACCGAGCACAGGTTTTAGTGGCCATGTTTCCATTTGCCAGGGTTCCTTCCATTTTAAGGTTACCCTTCTTTTGACCTTCAGCCGTATGTCTCCGATATGTCCGGTCTTGTGGTCTCCACAGGGGTCTCGGGGGATCTGAACGCCCCAACTTTCGCCTATTTTTTCGCCTTTAAACGGCACGCCAAGGGACACTCACCTCTCATGGGCCAAAAAAGGTGAAAAATGGCAGAGGGACTCCCTCCAACGGAAATCCAACTTGTCCTCAGTTTGTAGAAGGGAAATACAGCTTAGGATATCACTGTGAAAGGGAATCCGGTTTGGTATCACGATAAAATGGATGTCAACTTGCAAAAGCGCGTGAGGAGATGTCATCTTGGTATGTTATAAGGGAGAATGAGGATGTCACTTTCAAGGAGACTCCGACGCGGCGTCACATTACAGCAAACTCCCATTTGGAATATATCACTTCGACGGCAAAGGGAACTCCAACTTACATGAGCGGGAGAAGGATCCAATTTCAATCCTAGAAATCACTCAGGTGAAGGGAATTCGAACTTAAAATCACTAGAAACTGTTGGAATCCCGGGCGAATCATCTTAAAATGTGACTTCAACTTGACCGTTTCAAGACCATTCCAACTTGGCGTCGGGGGGAATGGCATGCGTAAAACCGATGTTCAGAGGGTTTGACCTACGCATCCAACCCGAAAGATGGGATCACCTTCAACGGGGGACTCCAACTTGATCGTACTCCGAAGAGGACTCCAACTTGTTCCGACCTGGAATATCACTTCCAAGCGGATTTGCAAAGGGCATCACCCGCAAATCGCTTGAAAAACGGGGTATTCCATCCTTAAACCTCGATCTTTACACAGGCAGAATCCATGAAACGCTGAGCTCGAGGGGATCTCGATCCCCAAAGGCCAGCTCTAGCTGAGTAGCTCACTGCATGCCAGCTGGACAGGCCCTTGGATCAGAAATCCTAGGACGCAGATTGGCGAAGTTGAAAAGCTGCTGCAAAGGTTTCTACATGTACCAGGTGAGTCGCAATCAAAACCTGGTAAAAATGGTCTACCCAGAACCATGTACAGGATTAAGAAGGCGGCCGCAGCTATTTGTGGTTGGGATCGTCCCTTACTAACCTTCATCTACCCGGGTTTTGATTGTGGCTCAGGTGCTTAGTTGGTAGGTCTATCTGGTTTTCGGGGATAATGCCAGGAATCCTCGCCTGGCAGTCCGAAGCTGCACCAAAAAGGCCTGCAGCTGCGACACCTGGCCAGGTTCGGGGCCCAGATCTAATCCTCGGACCTCTGGGTGCTTTGTACTCTAAAGGGAAACCCCGCTTTAAACCGGAAAGAAAAAAAGAAAAAAGGCGCTACTGGAGGTTAGGAATTTTGGTTCACCGATTCGGGCTGCGTATCCAAGAGGAAACCGGGATCACCGGATGGGTCTGTTGTTGTTGTTCTTGCTGCTGTCGCCTTCTTGCAGCTCGTATAGATCACCGGAGCTTTTTTGGGGAGTCCCTAGTTCTGAGATACCCTCACCTCAACACCGTCCGCCCAACAGGTTGCCCAACAAGATATCGCCCAACACCACCTGTTTCACAAGGGGATCCTCTAGGTCAGCTGATACATTACCTTCAACATGGCTCTGAATTTCATTTGGCAACCGGATGAGACATCTTCTCCAACTCCGTTGGGACTTGTTGGGAACGCTGAGCGAGAAAACGGCTTTCGTATGAGCCCTCTGAGAATAATCGAATCTTTGCCCAAGTATTGGAAACTGGGGTTGTGCCTCATGGCTCTGTAGTCCCCCTTCTCGCCCTCCCGGCGCCAACATCAGACTAAAAGTATCGAGTTGCTCAAATGCACAGGCGGTCTATCTTCCTCAAATAAATATCTCACAAAAAAAACTTCTGGGTCATTCAGGAAGATCAAAAAATAAAACTCGCCTTTTACGCGGCTTCCCATTCTCTCACGCGGAAACAGAGCCAGGCGCGAGCAGTCGATTCCCCGATGCCTCCAGCTGCCCCAGGGCATCCTCCACGCGTCCGCCAAATTTTGGCCTCAGCCGAGCACGTCGCGCGGCTCGCTCGAACGCTCGAACGGCACTCGCGAGTCGGCTGCTTTCTGCTCCCCTGCGAAAAGTGTTCTTTTTTTGTTTTGAAACTTTTGGTGGTTTCATGGAACAGTTCAACTTTTAGTGTTTTTTCATTGAAAACCCATTAGCTGGCAAAAAAGTTTTAAAGTCCTAACATCCAAGCAAAATGCACCAAAGGGCAGGGCAGGGCAGTTGGTTCCAAATGGTCATGGGTCAAAATCCCGCATCCCCAGTGAACATCCCAATCCCCGCTAAAATAGACTAGAATGGGTGTGCACCTACCCCAAAATGGTACCATTGGCTTTGACCCACAGCCCAATGACTCTTGGAAAAGGAGGTCCCGATCGAGTCGGAAGTAACAATTGGTCGGCTGTCACACTCCCAAAGGAGTTGGCCGAAATGCCGCGGATGGACCAGTGGAGGTCCAAATTTTCTTGCACCTGAAACCATAGGTGTCCTGTTTGGTTGGTTCGGTTGAACATAGATGGACCTAGTGGGTAGGCTTCTGAGGTGCGCTGCGGGTGGAACTCTTGTTTGAGGGCGCCCCTTTTTTGGCGGGTTTAAAGGGAAGCCAACAGGAAAACCACCATTTTGAGGAATCCTAAAGGCGGCAAACAGCTCGACACTTGAAAATCGTAAGCACACACCTTTCCAGGCCTCATGGGTGTAACTTTGGGAAACTGACTCACGGTGGCGACCCCAGACCAGCGCCAATCTCTGTGAATTGCAGGTGATTTGGCAGTCCCAATTATGTTTTGCATCGCGCGTTCGAAAGGGTAATTCGCGGATTGCCCCTATAAACCAAATGTTGACCCCATGAATGAACCCGAACGAAGAAACTCTGCCAATAGTGATCCAAAAGGGGGTTCAGTTCCCTCCCCCACACAAAAATCAAAAAATCAACCAGATTTCGGTAATCAGATGTGTCCTCATGACCACCATCTTCGCAAACCTACCACTCGAGTCCCAGGCTGAGACTCACGCGGCCTCTCCGCGCCCATGGCCCCGCAACCGACGACATGGCGAAACCTGCAGGGCCCTTCGGCCGGTCCGGTAAGGCGCCGAAAAACTGGGCGAACAGCACCCCAAGAAAGGAACCGGTTCTGTGAAAACAGCCGCAGGACGCGAAAGAAGTCGAACCATTTGTGTCGTGGAACCATTGCTGGGGCGGAAACAGTCGCAAACAAAAAAAATGGAAAAGCAATGCGCCACACGAGTTGCCCTTTTGTGTTCCTTCGAAAGGAACCTGGCACGGCTGGTAGCTAGTGCACGGCTTCCTGCCCCAACTCCAGGGATCTTTGTGAAATCAACGGCTGCGGCACAAAGGCTCCTGCGATCTCAAGCAAGATCTTGCGAGGTGGGGTTGATGTGCGGATCAAGTTGAAATCTCAGCTTCACAGTTTCTGCCAGTTGAATCACGTGGTCAAAGCCCATGCTGAAGGTGATGCTCTTGCACAATGGTGTTCGGCTCTCGCAAGTACAGCGGAAGCTATCTTCGACTTGCGCCTCGGTTTCGCACATGCCGTCAACCCGTCGAGTCACACCGAAATGTTTACGGGCATATATCCCTCAAATGCGACCAGTTTTTCTCTACCCACCTAGCGGCCTCCCGTTGGGCTACATGAAGCGAGGACACTAAAGACCCCTCGCGGTTCTGACATCCCTCCCACATGAGCCGCACACAGGTTTTGCGCTCACAGTAAGGAAGGGACATAGGAAAACTAGGGCTGCTCCTCTTGCCTTGTGCCACTTTCTGTTGTGCCTCGAATCGCTACATGTGGTTGAGTCTTGACAGCATTGCAAAATTGTTTGAAGCAGCATTGCTCAAACAACCCTCGTGCCCAGTACACAAGCAAGGTGGGCGCTGTTGCTACGTCGATTTGCAGCCAAGCCTGCCGGCCTGTCGATCAAAGAACCATAGGCACTTTAAGGGCCATCTGCGGCTATTCCTGCCTCTTCCACGGTCCGAAAGCGAGGGAAAACCCTGAAGAGACCTTCAGACTTGAGCCCTTTTGTTTTCAGCTGAGCAGTATTTTCACAGGAAGAGACCTCAAAGAAATTCATTCGAACAAAGCCCTGTTTGCCCCCTTGCCCCCCCCCTTGCCCCTTCGGTCCAGTCAGAGCTTGCCCCTTCCATTTTCGAGGTGGAGATGCCTGCGAAGGGCGAGATAAGCAGCTTGTACCCAAGAACTGTCTGCATGACGATATCACTCGAAGAGAAGTCACATGTTTGGCCGACTTCGCAACTGCCGCATTGCCTGTGCTATCCCGAGGATAGAGCGGTTGGCGAAACATCCATGGCAACCCTTGCAGTGATACACGTATGCGTAATCCTGAACGCCAGCGTCGCTAGTCAGGGGTGTGAGAATTACTCACTGTGACACCACCGCAAGGCATTCCCGATGACTGATCCTTCACTCAAAGCGAGAGGCCTGGCCTTGCTGAGTGGGTGTTCTGAGCAAACATGCAGAAAATACAGGGTAGCTTGCAGAAAACATTTGACACACAAGCCCGTAACAATGTGGGTACGGGTCAAAATTATACCACCAGGCGACGCAGGTTTGAGTCCTTGTTTCCATTTACAAGGGCTACATGTTGGGTACCTATTTCAGCCACACCCATGTGTGAAGAAGCATAAATCCGAACCACCTCGTTCCCAAACTCTTGCAAGTCGTGCGAGTTGAAGCCACGGGGCACCCAGATCATCGACCCACCGCACCGCAAGTAAATGCGTCTGCCTCAAACTGGGAGAACTGACATGATCGGTTTCCTTTTGGTTTCCCTTTGAAGCCAAAAAAAAAGGGGTTCCTCCAAGGACACGCCCAGATTTCCCCCAAATTTTCGCCACGCCTGCTCGCCGGGAGAAATTGAGGCTCCAGCCAGGATAGTAGCCTAGCGACCACGCCAAGGGGACGAATCGCAGGTTTGGCGCTTCCAAACGCCTCAAGATACCCGGAGAGGATATCACAAGGAAGCCGATCACATGGAAGGTGACCTAATTGCGAGAACACCCACAATGCAGCTGGTCTCTTTTCTCTGATTTAACCGGGCCGCAACGATCGATCAGGTGGAACCTTGTCAAGGCGCCTTAGGACACTCTCTGACTGTCGATGCAGTAGGCTTGCCGTATTATCCTGCCAAGGAAATTAGAAACCCATTTTGCACGCTTCTCAGCGGGATGAAGGAAACCCGAAGGATGGAGCCAAGTCACAGTTTCCGGGGCTTCCTCCCTTCGAAAAGTTCTGGTGGTTTTCCCACTGTTTAGACAGCCTGCTGTTGGCTTCCCTTAAGGAACCAACTTACCAACTTTTGGGGAAATACCCAAAACATTGGTAGAAGACGATCCCGGAAAACATGCCGGCTTTATAAAGCCCTAGATTGATGAGAAGTTGATCCGGAAAAATCGAGATGTTGCTAAGAACCTGCTCAAGTGGTTGCATGGCAAAATTGAAAATTCAAACCATCCACGAGGATCCTGTTGAGACTGTTGAGACACTCCTAGTTGAAGGGTCCTGGCTAATTTGAGCCAGGGGTCCAGTGATCCAACTCGTTTGGACACAGACTTGGCGAGCCCTTTCTTTGGGTGCTTCTTGGGCGCAACCAAGCCGAGTCGGTATCCGCTTTCGGATTAGTTTCTTACAGTTTGAAACGAAAGGGAGGCAGGGGCTACACCAAAGCCTGGCCGAAGCCCCGTTCTTTAGGCCATGTGTCAAAACTCAAAATCGTACCCCCAGTGTAAAATAGGTTCTAAAAATGAGTGGTGCACCTATCCCAAAATGGTACCATTGGTTTTGAACCATGGCCATTTGCCAATCTCTGCTCCATCTTCATCCCACCTTCAGAGACAACCCCCCTTAGGGCCAAGTCGCGCTTCAGCCCACGCTGCAGGCCCTCCTCACAGGAAATCTAGAACGAATTTGGATCAACTAGCCGGTGACCAAAAGGGAAAGGGAACAAACACACGTGCCAAAGCAGCTCGCAAAACTCCCATCTAGCCAGGCAGTATGCTACAATGGCCAATAGGGCGGTTTCGCTGCTGCCTCCTTGCAAAAAGATGAACCGGTAGTTCCACCCGGCCCAGTTGAAAAAATCGAACATGGAGGAGGCTCCGGCCATGCCGTTTCCCTTATTCAGCTTCACGGCCCACTGCCTCAAGCACCTTGGGGGGGGGGAGCCTTCCTCCGCGGTGTGAAGGGAAGTTCCAAAGCAAAAGCCTCCAGCTTGGAAGGAGGGGGGAAAATGATCCCCGCAGCCCTTCAAGTTCCACAGATCCTGAGTTCAGCTCGCTTGAAAAGAAGGCGCTTTCGCGGCTCTCCGCGGTTTTTGTTCCGCTTTCGAGTTGGACGCTCGAGATCAGGTCCTCCGACTCGTACGCCAGGGCCGAGAAGAGCGCGAAGTCGCTGATGCTGAGGTGCCTGGACCTGCGCGCCAGCGAAGCAAATTCGCACGGCAAGGGCGTGTTGAGTTCGCCAGCTCCCAAGGCAAGTGCCCAGCGTTCAGCTGGAGCAGGGCGCGGAACAAGTCATTGAGCGCCAAAAAAAAGGCAAGAACAAACTGAGCGCCAAGGACCATAAAGGCTATATAGACTCAAACAGGAACCAGCAAAACCCCCAAGAACCGCTTTCAGAGCAGGATGCCATTCGCAGTCTGGCTGGCATCTTTTGGAAGAGAACGGTCTCCCGCACTTGCGATTCGCGGGAACGCCCAAAGAAAAGAAGTCGATCTTGAATCTAGGCTTTCATGTGGTTGTGGGTCAAAAATAGGCACCCAACATAGAACCCTGGTAGATGGACAGATGCGGTCGATTAGTGGTTTAATTTTGACCATACCCATGTGCCTCGAAGAACCCTCTTCAAGAATGGGGCAGACCCTTTGCCCCCTCCCCAGTGCCGGCCCCGCCCGCGTTTCCCATAGCGGTAGTGGCGATCGCACTCCAAGGGGGATGTGACGTTCGCGTTCAGCATGGGCACCTGCGGAATCCCCCCCCCTGACCAAAAAGGGGACGGACGACCCAGCCAAATGGGTCGCCTTTGCAACTTCCTGACAAAAGCCAAAAAGGTTGGAATAACGTGGATAGTTTCTCGGAGTCGAAAATCAAGGGAAGTGCCAGTTTCCCGCTGTCCTGCCAATGTCCATGTGCCCTTCGTCAACTTGCTTGCAAGGACCGTTTAGCACAAGATTGGGGAATATGTTGGGGCTAAAGAACGCGTGCCGCGGGATCTCTTGCCTCGTAGTACTTGCATCCTGGCTGGCCTTCCACACAGAAGGCCGACCAGTTGCTGTCCACGCTCACTGTTGCCTGGCGTGCGCCACCATTTTGCCCCGACCAAATGGGAAAAGTGGTGATTACGTTGATCACGATTGGTTTCGAGAAAAATCGAAATCCAGATCCCGACAAACAATGAAAGGAGAAGACCAATACCAGTGCCAAACATTGTTTTTTTTCAGCGCCCCACTCTCAACTCGATCAGCCCGGCTGAGCCCAGTTGACTCGAGACAACATGTTCAATCACCTAGAAACCGAGGACTTGAGCACCAGCGCGCTTGATTTCAAAAAACGCTCTTTCCAAAAAAAACAAACAGAAAAACACTTGAAAACCGGTGGCTTCCCGATAGCTTCCCTGTCAACGCCAATTCTGAGGCTGCGACGCTTAGTTGGGAAACGTGGCCCAGGATGCGCTTCCATGACGGACCGTAAGTCAAATGTTGCTAAGCATACCACAGAACTTGAGATGAGCGGGGGTGAACAAGGCTCCAGGGTTGTCAGGCCAGAGCTTGCAGCACACGAATGGCAAAAACATTCCCCCCCCTCCACAAAAGGTGAGACAACACGCTGATGAGGCGGACGCAGAATCAAAATCAAATGAGGAAAACTAAAGGCTCCGGCAAGTCAGGTCAATGGAAGGGCTCCTTTGGAACCTTTTTCTGGGGGTAGTCTCCCAATGTCGCTGAAATGGTGCGAGGGACCGGCCCGCAGGTGCCCACGGGTTTAACTCAGGCGGGAGGGACTGTCATTTCCCTTTCTTTGGAGCTCCAACTTGGTTCCTTTTGAGGGTGGCCAATTTCTTCAGCTGGCTGGTCGAAATCCAAATCGGTTAGCCCCCAGTGAACCTCCGATTCAATCCAACCACTAAAATTGGCTCTGAAATGGGTGAATTCACCTACCAACCAAAATGGGATTACATCGGTTTTGACCCACAGCAAGCTATTTTGAAGGCAAAATCATGGCAGCTGCGCCAGCGAGAGAACCACCACCCCGACCTGAGAGGACTATCCCGGCGCCATGTGGATTTGTTGGTGGACGGGTACCCCCCATGCGTTTGGAGTCTATTGGGTTTCCCGCCAAGCAATCCAAAACGCGTGGCATCAAAAAAGGCACATCCATATTCAGATGATGGCATCGCCCCTGGGTGGGTCGTGATAAAAACACACTGAGATGTGGGACTCCCCGATGACAGAGCCTTCAGCACGGGTGAGGTCAAACCACTCTGTGAAGTCGCTTTGCTTTCCCCAGATGACGCAAAACGGTACCCAACGGTCAAAATATGGGGTTCCCGTAATTGACACAGAACCGTAATGTGAGCCACCTCCTTTTCCCGGGACATTTAGTGAGTCCCCCATATCCGTCCCGACATCACAATGGACTGAAAATGTTCACCGGGCCACATGCCATACAGGATATGCCAATGAAATGTGGGCTCACCCCGGCTTTAGCAAAGGAGCCCAAGGCGTTTGATGGAAGTACTGGGGAACCATCGGACCCCTGCCACTAGGATGGAACGGCTGGAGGTGGAAGACGGCTTTCTGTTTGAAGAGATCTGGGATCTCTCTCCTTGAGCCGTGCTGTGTACAAGCCACTTGCAGAAATTCGGGGATTCCTGGGCCAGCCACGACAAGCGACTGACCCAACACAAGCAGTTGGAAATGCGTCAAGATCGGGAAGGCGTATGTTGGACAGTTTCAACTCACTTGGAGAGATACCCTTGGATCCGGTTTGCTTCTGTTGACTTTCCTAACTTTCCGGCTTCAGGCAGACCCCATCCTGCTCAGTTCCGCCAGGCCCGAACACGCTTTCGCCCCGAAAGACGCTTTGCTGTTCCGAGGGCTCGGGCCACCATCACCAGCACCGAGTTCAGCAACACTGCGGTGAAGCGAGCCACATTGAAGCCTACCACTCCGTCGCTTGAGCAAGCAAACGTGTGGTGCTTCTTGCGAGAGATGGGAATGAGAAATGGTCTGCTGAAAAGCATCCCCTATGGTTTGCTGAAAGGACAATGGAGCCTGCAGAAGCCATCCCCTATGGTTTCCTTGGGAATCCCCGGGTTCATTCCATGTCTTGTTTCCTGAGCACCAGCAAGTCTTCCCTTAAATGCAACTCAAGGAAGAAGGCCAGGTTGGGCCAAAGCAAGGAAATACCAGGACTCTGTCGATTGCCTTTGCGGCAAGTTAGGGCCGACAAGTATGTTGCGTGGAGGAAAAAGGGGATGAGGATGAGGATGAGGAGGAGGATACGGATAAGGAAAGGGACAATAGGAGGATGAGGATGAGGATGAGAATAAAAAGGATGAGGATGAGGATGAGGATGAGGATGAGGACAAGGATAAGGATGAGCAGGAGGAGAAGGGGGAGCAGAATGGTGACGGCGACGAAAATGGTGAGTAAAATGTTGACGAAGAGAAGAAAAAAGGCGGAGGGGGAGGAAGAGGCAAGCGGCGGGGGACAAGAGCAAAGCGAGGCACCGAGGCGGAGGAGGAGGAAGAAGCAAGGCGGAGGAGGAAGAGATGGACGTGTTTCAGCAATATCATGTCTCCCAAACGGATAACCAAAGAGGATCTGGACGTGCCGGAGAGCGCCATATTGCTACATGCACCCGGTGGTCATGACAAAGCATCCGCTTTCTGAAACTCAAATAAGAAACGATTCCTTGCAAGCTAAAGCCACTCCACTCCACTTCGTTGGTGAATGGTCATGCTGCTTTCGAAAGATAGGGAGAACAGCTTGCAGCAGGCCTCTGGGGTTGTGCCGGCTGAGTCCAAGCCTTAGGTGCAGCAAAAAGCTTTGTAAAGACCTCAGTCAAAGAAGCCGCACCGAACGAACACCAAGAAAATGAAACAGGTCGACATGGAGAAGGAAAAAAAAAACCACGTTTTTTGGTTTTGTCTTTGGCGAGACAATGTCTCAAAGGAACTTGTGAAGAGAATGAAAGACACAAAATCGCTCAGACCAGGACATCTCAAGGAAAGCTGGTTGTTGGATCGGTGGAAAGATCTGAGGAGTGGGTAATCTGGGCTGCCCTCAGATCCCCCGCTCAAAGTTTCACTTTTCGTGGGTTGAATGGAAACTACCACCAAACCAACTAAAATAGACAAAAGGCGAAGGAACCGGATGGCTGGGAGCAAGTAAATGGAAAGCCACAAAGTGGCTGGCGGCCTGCCGGCCTGGCAGTGAAGCACTCCTGGACGGAAGCAACTAAGGCCATGTCTGCTGGAAGAGCGCAAACACGAGGGTGGTAAGGCCCCACCGCACGTCCAGCCTTGGAATCGCAGGAAAAAACACACTGGGGTTCACGTGGGCCGTTGAAGTGTTGCTCAACAGCAGTCTCAGAGGGGAAGTCATCATTTTCTCCAAACCAGCTCCTTTGCCTCCCAAAAGTTTTGAGTGAGCAAGCCTGCCTTGTGTTCTTTCTTGTATTCCGGGGGTCGGAGGGAAAGCCACCCATTGTGCGCGTTCAGGTTTCAGAAAAAGCAGCGAACGGGTGCACCTTGAAACAAAGAAATGGACCATCCTGTACAAGATTGTGGCAATTTTCAAGTTATGTGTTGTGCCAGGACTCACTGCTCGAGGATGCCGGGCTTGACCAATGGACCCTGAGATAGTCCAAAACATATTCAGTTCTATTCAGGTGTGATCTCAGAATGTACATTCCTTCCCGCTACCCCCTCCCCCCCCCGCGGATCCTTTCAAGAAAAAGCTGTTTGTTTGGGTTTTGTTGGACGAACCCCCAAGAATCTCGGAAACCATGATACACCACCTACCAACTCGTGCAAAAAGGTTTTGGCTTTTAATCCATCCGCAGCTTGTAGGACAGATTTCTACCAAAGAGCCCTAGCATCCAAGACATCAGCTGAGGCAAGACCAGATCCCATTGGGAAAGATAACCACCGGGCTTCCCTGCACGCACAGAAAGCAGGCGTTCGCATGTCGTTGGGGCTTGGCCCTATGATTGGCTCTAAGGGTGTTGGGAATGGCTGCCCCACAAAAACGTGACACTCTCTAGTGGTTGATCCTGATCCCTACTGAACACTACTGAACACTAAGACTCCTTGGGACTCACTAAGTGAACAACCCACTTTTCGGTCCACACCTATCTCAATAAAACCCTTGTCCTTCCACCCCCCCCCCCCTCCTTTCCCTCCCCCTCTGAGTCGCTTTTTCACCCACGGATCCCAACCCAGGGCTGTGGGACCTGGACTCCGCCGTGATCCCAAAGACCAAGCCTCGATCAGAGGGGATTCCTAGTATCAGTATCACAGAAGTGGGGATAAGACGCACCCATAATAATAATTATTATTTAAAAAATAACTAGAGGACGATTGGCCCGAAAGCATTTTTCCCCAGGTGCTCATCCAGCCGCGGAGACACCTTTTTACATTGCTGCGGCGAGCGTGTCTGCACGCGGCGATGCTCAATGTGTATGGTCACATGAGAGCTCCATCTCATCATCCTAGTTGCCTCTCAAACTGCGCCGCGCGATTTCTCACGAAAGTGGTCTGCGCAAGCTGCATTGTTCCAGGCTGCTGCGCGCAAGTTGCTCTCTGCAAGCTGCTGCACGCAAGTGCTCTGTGCAAGTTGCTCTGCGCAAGTGCTCTGAGCAAGTTGCTCTGCGCAAGTGCTCTGCGCCAGTTGCTCCGTGCAAGCGCTTTGCACATGTGCTCTGTGCAAGTTGGTCTGTGCAAGTTGCTCCGTGCAAGCGCTTTGCGCATGTGCTCTCTGCAGGTTGCTCTGCGCAAGTGCCATGAGCAAGTTGCTCTGCGCAAGTGCTCTGCGCCAGTTGCTCCGTGCAAGCGCTTCAAGTTGGTCTGTGCAAGTTGCTCTGCGCAAGTGCTTTGTGCAACTGCTCTGTGCAATTCGCAGAGCGCAAGTTGCTCTGCGCAAGTGACTCTGCGCAAGTTGCTCTGCGCAAGTGTGGGAATGTACTTCGCGTACTATTTTTGTACTTAAAAGTTGCGATTTTCCAGCCGGAGCTGCGGGAGCACGCTCCGCATACTACGTCTGTACTTAAAAGTTGCGATTTTTCAACCGGAGCTGCGGGAGCACGCTCCCCATACTACGTCTGTACTTAAAAGTTGCGATTTTCCAGCCGGGGCTGCAGGAGCACGCTCCGCGTACTACGTTTGTACTTAAAAGCTGCGATTTTGAAGCCGGAGCTGCCGCGGACCAGGGGGGAATCGAACCCGCGACCGCGGGATTGCGAAAGCAGGCGCGCGAGCCACGAGACAACTTCCAAAGGCCATTTCGCGAGCAACAAATTCGCACGGCGCCACAGCGAGAGCGCTTCGACACGCACGATCCCCGCAGAGCGTCACGCGCGGCTTGCAGAAATCGTAAAAAGCCCTCAGTTTTTGAACCTCGACCACGCGAATCTCCGCAGAGGGTCGCGCACGCATGTTAGAAATCGTAAAAAGTCCTCAGTTTCTGAACCTCGACCACGCGAATCTCCGCAGAGGGTCCCGCGCGGCTTGCAGAAATCGTAAAAAGTCCTCAGTTTTTTGAACCTCGACCACGCGAATCTCCGCAGAGGGTCGCGCGCGCATGTTAGACTCGTAAAAAGTCCTCAGTTTTTGAACCTCGACCACGCGAATCTCCGCAGAGGGTCGCGCGCGCGTTAAAAATCGTAAAAAGTCCTCAGTTTTTGAACCTCGACCACGCGAATCTCCGCAGAGGGTCGCGCGCGCGTGTTAAAAATCGTAAAAAGTCCTCAGTTTTTCACATCGACCACGCGGATCTCGGCAGAGGGTCGCAATCCCGAGCGATGATCAAACTCCCGCCCCGGCGCCTTAGAAACCTAAACTAACTTACATAGCTGCTTACGCCGAAGCTCTAGGCAAGCTCTACCTAACCTTGGCTCTGTGCCACTTGGCTCTGTGCCACTTGGCTCTGTGCCACTTGGCTCTGTGCCACTTGGCTCCGTGCCACTTGGCTCTGTGCCACTTGGCTCTGTGCCACTTGGCTCTGTGCCACTTGGCTCTGCGCCACTTGGCTCTGTGCCACTTGGCTCTGTGCAACGTGGCTCTGTGCCACTTGGCTCTGTGCCACTTGGCTCTGTGCCATTTGGCTCTGTGTAACTTGGCTCTGTGCCACTTGGCTCTGTGCCACTTGGCTCTGTGCCACTTGGCTCTGTGCCACTTGGCTCTGTGCCACTTGGCTCTGTGCAACTTGGGCTCTGTGCCACTTGGCTCTGTGCAACTTGGCTCTATGTAACTTGGCTCTATGTAACTTGGCTCTATGTAACTTGGCTCTATGTAACTTGGCTCTATGTAACTTGGCTCTATGTAACTTGGCTCTATGTAACTTGGCTCTATGTAACTTGGCTCTATGTAACTTGGCTCTGTGCAACTTGGCTCTGTGCAACTTGGCAAAGTGCAACTTGGCTCTGTGTAACTTGTCCAAGGGCTCCGCACGGAAGAACCCTTCGCGATGCTTTCGGGAATAAAAAAAACTGAAGTGGGGATTGATTCCCACCCCTGCCCCAAACGGGACGCCGAAAAAAAAAAAACGAACCCCCCCCCCCCCCGCTGCCGGCTGCTGGCTGCCGGCTGCCAGGCGCCCGCGCCAGGCGAAGTTGAGCACCACGGCCACCACGGTGTGCCCTGCGCCCAGCACCACGCCTCGCCGACGCGACGCGCCCAAGCGCCGAGGCCGAGGCTTACGGCGGATGCCAGGCTCTGTGAGAGAGAGAGAGAGAGAGCGAGAGAAACAAATGTTTGTTGTTAAAAAAAAGAAGTGGCTGAAGCACTTGTCTGTGTCAAGGAGAAAGGGCTCGTTCTGACTCGAGAAAAGCGACACAATGCCAACTATTTGAAGGGCCGGGTAACAACAGAAAGCATCAACCAAACAAAAGTCAAAATTTGACATATGGTTCTTCGTCAGTATATACAGGTGCATGGCATAGCTGCTCAGAGCCCAAACTTTTCCATTGGCCAGAGAGACTCGGTCTGTGAGCAATGACGCTATACAAGCTGTACAGACTACACACGTTACGCTGTAGCCAAGCCGCTGCGTTGGTGCAACAGCCTGCCCTACTAATCCTACGGAGGCTGGATCCCTCCTTCCGGAGATGACTTCGCAAGCTCCCTCAAATGCCCATTGGGGCGCTTGAACAATCTCTGCTGTTTGAAGTAGGCTTTCGGGGATTGCCACACCGGGCATCCGCACGCAAATTGTATGGCTCTTCGTGATGATACGGCCTTGTGAGCGAATTTGGAGCTTGCAGCAGATCCGACTCTGCCACAAATGTTCCCCGGGGAAAGGTGCAAGCCCTGGAAGCCAAAAATAAGATCCCTGCCTGAAGACCTATGACCGCGTAGGACGCTCTCCGTGCATGGCAATAGCGCTTCCCGTGATGCCAAAGCGGGACTCCCATACATATGAGTCATATCATAAACTTGATTGCATCAAAGGAGATTCCTTTGGCCACTCGGAAAGTGGCAACCTACATGAAAACCTACCATTTCCCACATGGCTGGAAAGGCGAGATTGAAGTCCATGGTTTGGAAGGGTTGTGACAGCAACAGCAAACGCCACGGCAGGTAACGGCGACTCTTCTTAGCCCTGTGCGTAAAGACTGCAACATGCAGATCCCTAGTCGGCAACCACTTGCACGCGGTTCACGGGTGTTCCCTCCGAAAAGCCATATTTGCTCTAGTTACCTGGCATGCGTCACGTCCGTCAACTGCGTCTTACTCGAGGGATCCCGGCGCCTTTGGTGGCGCCTCGGCTTCTTCGGCCCTCTCACCTCCCCGGAATCTTCGGCAGGCGAGGTGCGGAAAGCTTCGGCCCATGCGACATGGGCCGCTGTGTCTGCATGAAGTTGGAGACTAGAGGTTCTGCACCCGCCGCAAGTCAGCCCGTGCCAAGATGCTCGAGCTACCTGTACATCATGCAAATCGATGGCGCTCGCCCCATAGCGGAGCTTCGGTCATTGGCGATCTTTCGATGAAAGCCGTGCCAAGGGGCGAGCACTTCTGATGCTGCACACACAGATACACACACACAGCTCACACACACACACACACATCACACCCTCACACACGTCACATAACGGAAGTAACCGAGTGACCCGTGGTCGATCCAGTCACCCGTGGACGCGAGATTGCCCTCGTGACCCCAGGTGTGCCTGCCTGGCATGAATCCCTCATTGGCACAAACTGCAGGGGGCCGGGCACGTCGTAGGTCGCATGCGGCTCACACGCCCGGGATTCAAGTCGGCCAGGACACCCAGAGTCATCGGTTCGGGAAAAGCAGCTGAATACGTCAGCGCGGACGGGAAAGCGGATCCGTCGCTTGGCCGCGGCCGTGTCACAATCAGCTCCCAATCCCAGAGGGCAAATTAAACATTGCACACCCAAGCCCGCGAGGGCGCCTGGAGTTTGTGCCTGCAAGCTGGGGTGACTCCCCTGACTCGCTCCGGAAAATCCCCCAGGGTCAGCCCTGAAAACCAAACGAACCCCCAAACCAACCACAGTCTCAGAGGGAGTCCCCCCCGAAACGCCGACCGCTCGGCGTAGCTCCACAAGCCAAAGCGCGGTCCGTCCATTGCTTCCAATGGTCCGGGGGAGGCCCTGTGAAACGGGCTGGTGAAGCAAGGGGGCTGTAAGATCACGTTGCCATGCTTTGCAAACACAGTGGCCGCTGATCCAATGTGCTCCAACTCAACTTGACGAAAAGCTGAGCGAGTCCCAATGAAGGAAATACAGTAAAGACCAGCCCCATATATGCCATGCGTACAGATCTAAGCCCGAAGATTCTCTTGTGGGTTCCATCGGAGGCCGTCATGAAGCTCTCGAAATGTGTCTGTGTGTGTGTGTGCTTGTCACTGGCAGAAGAAGCTACTAAGAACACATGGGCGAAAATCGACAGAGTGACAATCCGTCAAGATGCATGCTCTTGGTTAATATGCATGACCCAACAACCCAACTCCAATAAAAACCAGCTAGCCCTTGTGTTCCAAACAATGGTGATGAACGTACTCACTCGAAAAAGACACTGAGTGACATGTAGGTGATTACACTTCGATTTTTCCAACAGGAATCCATACAGGGGTCCTTGCCACGCATACTCGTCATCCTAGCCCATTCCAATGTCATTGGTAAATCCGGCTCGACCATCTGCCACCACGACTGGATCGCAGCTGGGTGGCCACTCTGCTTGCAGGGACTTTACATGGCAGGGACCAGAAATTTCAAAAGCCGAAAAACAAACAGTTTCTTGCTCCGCATCTATGCGGTGAAATAAAATATCCACTTCCGCCGTTTGTTGGTCCTTCCTGCACGCAGATGTCTAGGTCCCTCCAGCTCATCCCTACGAGGGACAAGTAGAAAGGAACACGTCTTCCAACAACTTGCCAGAGATCTACTCCACTTGCTCGGGATTGGAATGCAAAGCGTGCAGATCTCCGAACACCGCAACTTGACCAGAAAAGCCCCCAACGGATCCGGTGCCTGAACCCCGGGGTGTTGGTCGGAAGCCTAAGTCTCGTCAAGCCAAACTTAAAAGACATGCTGTCCGATGTTTTGTGTCTTTGGGTTAGGTCTAGGAGTGACAAACGGACCAAGGTTAGGTCAGCATGTCTCACAGAGCACTCTCCACCGGTGCTTTTGTTTTGTGGAGAGTGCTCTGACCTGGGCTCAATTCCACGTCCAGGAAGGTTCTTCTGAGTCTTCTTGCAAATCAGCCCAGCTCACCTTGGGTCGCGTCTTGGCCTGAGACGTCATCTTGATCTCCATCTCCTCCTGTGAAAGGGGCAAGCCAAGCCAACACCACCCATCATCATCCTTGAATGATGCCTTGACCACGCGGAGCGCAAGGACGTACGGTGCAATACGTGCTTGACGCACAATAAGTCAAGGAAAAGCACCCTTGTTTCTAGTCTAGGTGAATCAGAATTCACTAATTGAGCAATGGATTTCTCAAAAAAGGAGGACAATTCCATGATTTCTGGTCGCAAACCGAGCCCGCTTATGAGGTGGCACGGTTCACCAAGGCCCGAAACTACCACAGATCTTGCCCAAAACCCAAACACCGCGTGGTTGACTCCAGTCCATACTTCGCGGAACCTCCGGTTGATTTCTTGGCCTCGCGCCAAGCAGAAGGCTGGACATCCCTGGACATCCGTGGACATCCGTTCGACATCCCGCCCCCAAACAGACCCCTCCAGTCCTCCTCCGCCAGATCAGCCCAGCACACCGGTTTTCGCTGAACCGGCGCCCTCGACTCGAAGCAGCTGAGCGCAGGCGACTCTGAGCCGCCTTGCGAGTCGGAGCCTGGCGATCTTGCGGGTTCAGGTTTGGGCGGCCAACACCGGGGGCCCCGAAGAAACAAAGAAAAAAGGAGAAAAAAAATGGCAAAATGCCCAACCAAAGCAGCTCTCTTGCCAAGGGCGGCAGCTACGGGTAGCCAAAATAGGGGGCCTTTGGAATAACCAACCCTAGGAAAATGCCCAACACAAGCCACGCCTCTTTGCTTTTGTTGCATAAGAAGGGTTTGCCTGAGCTTCTCTTCCCGGGCCTTTCGGAATCCGAGAGCAAACACGAGACATCGAGGTGCATTGATCTAAGCGTCAGGAGCATTCCTGCTGGGCAAATGCCGACTTCTGGGCCCCGAACCCTGAATGCGCCTTGGAGCTGCCTGATTGGCAGGCGTTTAAGGAAAAAGCAAAATGGACCTACCAAGGGGGGGGGGGTGACTTTGCAAACGCCTATACAATTCAAGCTCTGTATTTGTGGGGGACGGGTGGACAAGACTTGAATTCAAGAGGTCCCGGTTGGACCTTTTCCTCAAAGGGCACAGAAAAGCAAGGTCAACAGTTGGATCCAATTTGGGATCGCCACCCAAACCCTCTTGCCTGACCAGACTGATGCTCATCCTAAGAACTACAACCACCCCAAAAGTGGGGTACGAAAAGACTGCACTGTAGGACCTTGGAACCCCTGTCATGGCCCACCTGTCAATGTCTCTCAGTTGGCTTACAACCGCCACCCCCAAAATGGGTAGGACCTTGAACCCCGTGGCCCAGGCTCTCAGCTTTACCTGAAGCCCAGCCGAGGGGCCAGGAGTGTCCCAGTCCGAGTCGGAGTCAGCGTCGCCCTCATAGACCCACTTCGGCAGGCCAAGACATCCGAAGGCCCGGGAGTCTTCACCTCACCCACCCGAATTCCCAAAAGCCCCTGGCTTCGCGTCCCAAAAGCCCCAACACCGTCCCAAAGGCCCTGAAGACGTCCCAAAAGCCCCCTTGGCTTTTGTTTGGCAACCTTCGGGGGCCGGCGAAACCTTTGTCAGTTTGAGTTCCAGAGCGGTCTTGAGAGGAAAATCACGGCACAAAAGCGCGACTCCCCATGCAAAAATCAACCCCGATCAACCAACCAGTGAATCCTGGATTGCCGCTTCCATCGGCTAAGACTTTGAGTCTATCCCCTCCGCCCTCCCGAAAGCGCGAAGAGCCAAGTCACCGAAGCGACAGTCTCCCTGCATCCCCATCGACGGCTCATTCAAAGGACTACTCAAGGCACCTTCATCACCCTCAGACATCGGCCACCAAAACGGCTGTGCCTCCCGGGAATATGTGATCGGTTCCGGGAGGGCGAGAGGTGGCAAGAGGTTTCGAGAAACGGGCGTGCGAGGTGTCGGGCAAGCCGTTGACGGGGTATGGACCAACGACTGGGATTTCTCCGCGTCCCAGCCATCAGCCACCTGACTGGTGTGTACCAGAGCAGGCGACGTGCACGATGCCATTCTCCGCAGACTTCTCCGCGAAAACGGCAAATCACAAGGGCACAAGGCGCAAAAAGAACTTCGCGAGAAAGCCGGCCTATTAAAAGGGCTAGGTCCGGCTACTGATGACCACGCTGGTCGCCCGCGAGTCCGCTGTCGCGCTCAATTGTCGCGCTTGAGCCGTGCACTGCGGTAGGGATGGCGCGCGTTTAGTCGCAACGAAACCATGTGCAATGCAGTGGCTTTGCACGCGCATGCTTGTTGAGTCACCTGATTAGCCAATCCTCCAAGTCCGTCCCCATACTTGAATTTCAGCCAGGCACTCTTTTGGTGGACATCCTTGGGGCTTGAGTTATGTGGGACCATAATGCCACAACTCATGGACACTTCACAACTACACGCATGGATCGGCCTATAAGCCAGCCCCAGGGCCGCTCGCGGTAGGCCATCATGTGCCTGTCGCAAAAAGATAAAGCCGACCATCTCCGAACAGAGCCGAAACGATTGAACATAGGTCAGTGTGTCTTTGAGTTGTGTCAAGTTTCCATAGGTTAAGCGTTCAAAAGACTTGGCCAAGAAAGTTGGGAAAATACTGTTTGGTCCAGATAGCAAGAGGAAAGCAAACCGGACACTGTGTACCCCATGAGTCGCAAATCTTGGAGACAAGTTTTCTACCATGCCCTCCCCGGGCATCTTTTTCTTGAAGGCTTTAAGCTGGTCGATGTCTGGTACCTTGAAAACACATGACGCAGAATCATGGAACACAAGGAATGAGGCCCCCAAGATGAAACTGACACCTGCAAATTGAAACCAAATCAGCAGACACTTGATTGACAGAGGTGGCAACGCAAGTCACACTCGACGAATCCAAGTCACGACCAGCGAGGTGGCCCTCTTTGCAAAACAATTCAACAAAGCCAAAAGACGCAACTGCAAAGCCAACAGGCAACATCACCCTTGCGCGTGACAGTGAAAACTTTTGCCTACTTTTGTGGGCTTCCAAAACTCCAGGGTTGCCATGAGATCACATCTCCCCAACCATCTAAGCCACAACCAATATCCGCCGACCCCTACAGGGGAAGGCTGCTCACCCGACACCCCTGGTGGAATCGGGAATGCTTCTCCGGTTATCGAAAGTAGATGTTGATTTGGCCTGCAGACTAGGGTGTTCGACACCCTCATTCCCGGTCCTCACCCCAGCGAAACACCGGTGTTGTCACAAGGAAAACGAGTTAAAGACCTTGCGCAAAAGCCCAACGTCTCGAGCAAGGGCCATGAAAACTCGGCAGCAGTGACGTCACAAAGGGCCGCAGGGCCACAAACCCAGAACAAGGAAATGGGAAATCCTGGGCAGGCAGAAGTACCTGTAGTCCCCATCGAGGCGTTCGCAGAACAGAACCGCAGGAGGCAATCCTGGAGCTACATGGGTCTGTGTCATCTGGGGGAAGCCCGTCAAAATGGCGCGGCGCAAGGAAAACAAAAACAAAAAAAGCGAGCGTCGGTCGAGGAATTCTACGCACAGTCCGAGAACCCAACGGTTTTTATCGAGACAAAATCCCTGGTGCTCAAAAGATTTGGGCACAAGCCGCCAGGACCCGGATCGGCATTTTCAATCCCCGTGTCGACCACGTTCTTGGGAAGCGAGAGCATGCAAGGCGCCGGGGCAATTGCTCAAATGAATGAGTTTGAGCACCGCGTCGAGATGGTTACAGTGATCTTGCTTGACGACTCCACAAGTCTGTTCGTGCATGTTTTGGCCGTGAAGGCTCCCGCCTCGAAAGTGGATGGCTGCTCAACCTGTGTGCGTGGCAACAGAAAGACATTGTTCCAGGAGGTGTTTCTGGACAAGTGCTCCGGTTTAGGTATGTTTTGGCACGTTCGGCCTTGGTGGTCATGGGCTGCAACGCCTGCCATATCTTTGAATATACGGTTCAAAGACTCTTTCCAAGTGGTGCCGGGACGCGAAAGGCTGTTGTACAGCGACCAACGGATCAACGCCCGACATCCGCGGCATCACCGTCGTGCTGGGAACATGTGCGATAGCGTAAGGCAACCCACAGCTCCCCGCGCTGTGTCTGAGCGCGCATATCCTAAAGTGTCGTTGTCTAGGGCAAAAAGCGCCCCCCTCAGACGTTCAGTGGCTTTTTCTCCTGTTGGTGGTGGTGCCAGGAATGTTGCGGAGGCAACCGTGCGAGTTCTGCGTGGGCTGCCCAAGTGCTGGTTATGCAGGTGATGCGCAGCAGGCGGGTAAGCCGGGCTAGGCCACCGCAGCCGGCGCCGGGCGCAGCCCTTGAAGAAACGCCCATGCGTCCTTTCACCTCCTGGATTCTCCAGTCACCTGGCTAAACATCAATTGAGTCACAATCAAAACCTGGTACTAAAATGGTCTACCCAAAACCATGTACAGAATTAAGAAGGCGGCCGCAGCTATTTATGGTTGGGATCGTATTAACCTTCATCTACCCGGGTTTTTAGTGTAGCTCAACTGCCAGTACAGGACTTTGGCCGAATTCGGCCCGAGATTGAAGTGAGGCCACATGCTCAGTCACCGAGTGCGCAGCATCATGGTGGCGCTATTTCCAGGGCCCACATGCGAAAGTATGCGTGTAGATGCTACATATATATATATATATGCTGCGTGCAAAACATCGCAGTCACCAAATGTGGTTGAAATCAGGTCAACCCACTCTGGCAAGAGCCATTCAGATGCCCGAGCCTCAGAAAGGTCAGAAGCACCACTGCGATGCACACCTCAGGCGGAAGCCAACACGTGCCAGTGCTGGCAGGACCTGTACTCCGAGCCTTCGGGTCCGGAGGGTTGGGCTCAGAGACTTGAGGCACCTGGCACCTGGCAGACTTGTGAGTCTTTGGAGTACCTAGGAAGGCTTCGAATCCTGAGGATCATGGAAGGCTTCGAATCCTGCAGATGCCCGCAATGTGAACCATTTGATGCAGATTCGCCAACGCTACGGCCGTGAAGGGGTCTACATTCATCGCAAGCCTACGTACTACAAGCTCTAGTGGAACTCAACAGGGATCCTTACATTATACACCTGAGCATTGCAACTTGTAAATGGTGGTTTCCCCTTATTTTGGTGTCGAAAAAGCATGATGTTTCAAATGGAAAGGCAAAATGGAGAAATTTTAAGGAGCCCTGCTCAAGCTGGCTCCTAACTACTTGAAACACGGGAACCAGCTGGCAGCACTTGAGCGCGGCGCCAACATCCCGATCCACTGAGACAGCGTGGCAAAGAGCACTCCCTGGCACGGGAGAAGGGACACTCTAAAAGTGGGCGAAACAACCCCCAAAAAATTGCCGGAACAGCCTAAACATGTCCAAAAAAAGAAGAAGAAAAAAAAGAACGAGCCAATCTTCCTCCAGCTCCCTAGTTTGGTATCCAAAATACATAAGCATTTCCTTTCAAGAGCCGAGTCTAAGGGAGCGAACCCATTGGCTTTTTTCCAGAAATTTCAGCCAACCTGGCGGCTGAGCAAATGTTCCAGCCGTCAGGAATTACACGGGAGGCAGCTTCGACAAAGATGAATCCTTGAGGTGTGCTTGGGTGAACAAGACAAAGTTCCCTATAGGTCCCTTACGCCCGACCGAGAAGAAACTCGCAGAAAATGGCTTCAAACCACAAAAGGCGGAGGTTTGAAAACTCACCCCACGTCAATCCGCGTTGAAAACACTGCTTGGGCCGCCTTTGTTCAATCCACGCCTTTGAACAATGACAACTAGATGGCAGCAGTACCCGAGTGTGTCTTTTAAAGGGTCCGCCCTTGGTGGTTTGAAAGGGAAAGCAGAAGCCAGCGGAATTTCTATTTCTCAACCAGACTGTTCTTCGCCCGCCTGCAGCAGCACCACGACGCCGAAGGTGATGCGATTGGACCTGAGGACTGCAGGACCGCCAGGACCGCGGGCTCGGTCGCACGATGGGCTCGGATCACATCCGCAGAAAATGACGGGCCCTGAAGCTACACCAGCTCAAACCCCTTTTTCTGGGCTTTAACCCAACCCTTAAAAAGAACCCGGGAGAAAAAGCACTTGATGTTGATGTTGACCATGGCTCAGTTGCAACCAGTGATGGGGAATATATTTGGCCATGGGTCAAAAGCCAAATCGTACCCCCAGTGAACATCCCAATCCCCATTAAAAATAGACTAAAATGGTGGTGCACCTACAAAATGGGATCCCACTGGTTCTGACCCACAGCCATAGTGGGCCAAAATTCCATGTTGGGTTTGGAACCCGGGGAATTTACTGGGTATTAGTATCCACTGAACTGGGCAGTTCTCGTCCCGAGTCAAGTCCCTGACTTACCACTCGCGGCCGGCCCGGGAACGCTGGCGCTTTTTGGGCCCCCGAGGCTGGTCACAGGAAGGAAAAAAGAAGCCAACCTCAATCAGGCATCACTCGACCTGGAACCACTTGTGCCCTAAAACTCGTGAACCTCTGAACTGGATGACTTCGTGTTGGCTTCCTGGATCCACAAGGCTTTTGCCTCTGAAAGCACTGTTCGATGAGCTTAAGGACTCTGGCCTGCGAACTCATGTAAACCCATAGGAAGCAATCTAAAACTTGATCATGCATTATTTTATCGGTCCTTCCTTGGGAAACTACAAACATGACCCTCCTATAACAAACATGGATGAAGTACAGCTTGAAGGTTGGCCTTACTCCAAACACGGGTACCTGCATCCGATTCAGCCTGGATTCTTTGCATGGAGATTCCTAAGGGAAATGTCACATACCCACGGACCTTTGCGAAATCTGCGAACCCCTAAAAGTGTTTTTTTAACTTTTAGTTCGGTTTAATACGGAAACCAAAAAGTTTCATTTGGCAAAAAGTTGTGCGAAGATCCCGATCGGCAAAATGCAGAGAGAGATCCCGGTCCGATGCGAGGTGCCGCTGGACGTCGTAGCGGAGCCCGCAGTAGTGCTCTCCCCAGGCCTGGAGGGCCTCCGATCCGACGTCGAGGTGGTTGGTGTCACGGAAGCCAAACGGAAGCAGGGAATCAAT